TCACCGACTGATAGAACTCAATAGTTAATTAGTTAATTCAATACTCCGGCCCGAAGAGACTCTGAAAAAAATCACGTATTTAAATGTGACGAACATTCTCTTACGAGGATCGGAGGAAGACTGATTTATCGGAGTATTTTCTAAACGTCAGTTGACTAAAACAAGAAGAAACAAGAATATTTTTGCAGCTGTCCCTTCCGAATTTTCGTGGAATTGAAAATTCGCAGAAANACTGATAGAACTCAATAGTTAATTAGTTAATTCAATACTACGGCCCGAAGAGACTCTGAAAAAAATCACGTATTTAAATGTGACGAACATTCTCTTACGAGGATCGGAGGAAGACTGATTTATCGGAGTATTTTCTAAACGTCAGTTGACTAAAACAAGAAGAAACAAGAATATTTTTGCAGCTGTCCCCTCCGAATTTTCGTGGAATTGAAAATTCGCAGAAATAATCCAAATAAATATCTCTCATACTTGGAGTATTAGTGTTTTGTGTGTTTTTGTTTTCCTTTCTATGTACCAATACATGAGTAGAGGTCGTTTTATCTGAGAAAAATGACGGATTGATGAGCATTCAGAGGACGTCGAGCGTCCCACCCATCTTCGTGCGTCGCGCACCTCCCGCGCCCACCTGGTGGACCATATTTCAGCAACGGATTGATGGATTTTGATTTTAAAAAATGATGATTATTTATTACACAAAAAGGAACAACTTTTGTCATGAACATTTTCTTCTACTTGCCAATGTTTCCCATAAAAAAAAAATCATCAAAAAAACCACTTAATTTGTTTATAACTATTAATTGCACGCACTTACATAAAAAATACCACTGGATTCGGATTTCTCATACCCGAAAACATAAGAAAACACCTCAAAACCTTACCGCACTAGAAATGCACACGGGAAGGGGGTATTGCGTGTGGACTAAACAAAAATGTCGAAATACGTGAAAATGGAATTTGTGAGCTAATTCTAGTTTAACCCTCTAAAGTGAAAAGAGTAGAAATGCGTAGTAGGACGCTCGAGTGGGGACGCTGGTAGTCCGCTTTGGCGGCCATTGAGTGGGGATGTTGAAATTCAACTTGTAGCGGGTTAAACTCAAGAATTTAAATTCTTCAGTTTAAACTAGTTTAAATTCAAACAAAAATGTGGAAATGCGTAAAAATGGAAATTTTGAGCTAATTCTAGAGTTTGAACTCTCTAGACTCCTTTTTCCTATAATAAAAAAACTATTTGAAAAATTGAGATAAAAACCTATATTTTTTATTTCAAACTTTTTTTCTCGGAGGTCAACTTCTCCCGATATCTATTTTTTAAAAATTTGTTCAGATTCACTTATTTCCATCACGGATGCTTAAAAAAATCTGAAAAAATGTACAGAGAGTACGTTTGATGAGTGTTAAACTACTGATTTTATCCGTTTTTTGGAGATCTTGAAAAAAAGTTGGTGGCCGGATTGGGGGAGACTCTATCATATGTATGACGTGTCACGAAATTTTTCTAGAAAGTCTCACCCCCAGGGATGACTTCCGCATATTTTTCGAAATGCTGGGTGCCATAAGGCGAGTTAAAACACTCCGGGAGAACGACGATATCCGCTAGCTGCTGTTTTGCCTGCTTTATGTAAGACACCGCATTCTGAATGTTCGAGGATTTATCGGTGCCAACTGAGAGTTGGGCCAGGGCCAATCGAAAGGCTGAAAAAGGAATGATTGGGGGTGATTTATTTTGATAACGTGCCAAGTGAATTTCCGGGTTTTTTTTGGGTGGGTGGGGTGGCACTTACTTGACATTGCTCTGACGTTGGTGGGGAGCACTGGGAGGATTCTCTGCATTATTGGGAGGAATCCGAGGTTAGGTTGCACGAATTATCAGGTCATTGTCGGCGATAACATGGGGGTGAGGGATTTTTGTCTAGGATTTTCGTAGAGTTGTTTTGGGAATGTCTGGGGGAGGGTGATACGTGTGAAGAAATTTAATTGAAAAAGCGCTTTTCTGAGAGAAATTTAACTAAACTACTACTAAAATTCTGGGAAATATTTCATTTGTATTTTGCACCTATTCATACTAAAAATTCATGTATGAAAACATTTAATAGAACAATCTGGCGAATTTGCTGGACAATTCTATCGGATTCTATTGAACTTTCCATCAGATTTGGCCGATTCTATTGAAATGTTCAATAGAGAATATTCTGTAGAAAAAGACAAGAGAATGCGGTTTTTCTATAGAATTTTCTCGGCTCAATTTTTCAAAGCTTTTTTGCTTGATTTTCTTGATGAAAAGAAAAGTAGAATGAAACAAACTTGGCAAATTTCGGCCGAGGAAATTCTATAGAAAATATAGAATAGAATCAGTTGTGTAAACAAATGGAATTGTATTGATTTTTTCTATTAAAAAATGCTAAGGAAAAGTTGCATAATTTCCCTTTCTTTCCGAATTTACTTTCATTTTTTTACCCAATATCACCCCCGAGAGAATGTATCATACATACTCTATTATAACTGTATAAATATGAAAAAATTGACAATGAAAGAATGAATTAAATATTGATTTAATTTCAGCAGTATTTCATGAGTATCTTCAAAACGATGAATTTAAGGAGAAAAATTAATTGATCCGCAAAATCATTTATGAAGTGATTTTCCACCACTTCATCACTTGATTAGTGCCACAATAATTGAGAAATTGAATGGTTAATAATGATTTTTTTATTATTAAAAATAAAATGACTGATAAAGAAAGAGTAAAAAATAAAAGTCGAATTTTGACATTCAGATCGATTCCTTGAACGTCATACAAAATTAATATCTAAATTCACTAGTTGATCAAGACCTGGATCGTTTATGATGCTTTTTACTTTTTCTTCTGTCCAAAGACTCTGAGTACCCGGATTTACGTTCTCGACTTCTGTCTCGAGTTTTCTCCTTCTTCTTGCTTTTTCTACTAGAATGTTTCTTCGATCTTTTCCTGTATTCGTCAGAGCTGGAACTCTTGTCTCGATTCTTGTGCTTTCTCTTGGATTTTTTCTCGTAACGGTCGTCTGAGCTAGAACTTGAGGATTTTCGACGTCGGCTGCGTCTGTCGTCGTCACTGGAATCATCAGATTTTCGTTTTTTATTATGAGAACCTGAGGAGACTGAATTGGATTCTAATTTCTGTGTATCGATGTTGGTTTTGTCTTTGTACTCAGCGTATTTTGAGGAGTCTGGAAAATGAATCTACAATTAGATCGTCAGGTAAATGATTTTTCGGGGGTTTAGGGTGAATTTTCTGGTGAATAAAATATTCGGTGGCACGTCTCTTTAACTAGGCGACATTTCAACTACGACATTTCAACTAATTTTTGTGAAATTATTAATTTTTAGGAATTAGCCGAATTTTTTTTTTCATTTCTTTTTATTCTTTGTTTTTCAACAGATAACGTACTGCAACTCAATTTAACCACAGAACTAATACATTAATGATTAATATCATACAAAGATTCAATTCGTTTTTATATTAACAATTACAAGAAATCAATAATTTTGTATTAATAGTTGTTTTCTTTGTTGAGGATATTCCATGCCTTTTTTTCAAAGGCTGTTTTCCATTTTATATTGAGATGCATTGAGCGATTCCGCGCAGAATTTATGAGCAGTGGAAATGTCGTAGTAGAAATGTCGCATAGTTGAAAAGACATGGATTCAAATATTCAGATAAACAACAGTCAACGTCTGCCTTAATTTCACGGTTATCTGAATGATTGTTTCGAGAGGAAAATTTCAAGTGGCAATTTTTTTCCACTAAGATTATTCGCACCGAATGTTTCTATTCATATTAGCTTTCGTTTAGAATTTATTTCAAGTTTCAATATTCAAAATTAAAGTTATGTTTATACTACTCCACAATAAATTGACATTTTTTTCTATAACTCATCGATTTCGCCTATGAACTGATCAATTATTGATGAAAAAAAAAATCAGCACACATTTTATTCACCAGAAATGAAATTTATTTCAAAAATACTTACTCAAAACTTTTGAATTCTTCGTGTACTCGTCCTGCGTCACAGGTTCCACTAAACACTCATTGAGTGATACTGATTCCCCTCCGATAGTTAATTTGACAATGAGTCTAGCAGAGTCCTCATCCAAACCCTCCAATACCCCATATTGATGATTGTGCTTCCCTGCGAGTATTTTAACAAATGCTCCAACAATTAATTTCAAATGCTCTTGCTCCTTCGTCTTATTCACCACATTCTTGGCTTTGAGTACTGCCTTGTCTGCTCCCAGACCCATTCCTCGAGGTCTCAGTTCAGGTATCTTTGGCTCCACAAGACTGAAGATAATTATTGAAGAATAAGTTAGATTCGAGAGGAGAAATTACATTTTGCGAATGGATTAAATAGAGGAAAATAATATCTTACTTTCCATTTTTACCGAGACCTTTTCCTGGTTTCCAACCCATTCCTCGCAGCATTGCTAACCCATAGGACTCTATAGGAATTTGTTCATAATCGTCTAAAGTTGGCTAAACAATAAACATAAAGAGAACATTATTAATTAATTGAGTGGAAATTGGAACTGTTCCAATAGTTGTCAGTTCTAGGAGAAAATATCAAGAAAGCTTTTCGACAAAGTTTCAGTTTAATTTCCAAGTGAAGACGTCATTTTTATTAATTAGTTGATCATTTTCTTAACGAGTAATTTTAACACAGAAAGTCAAAATTATAATTTTTTTAAACAGTTGCTGTTTATGAATAAATAATTAACGTTATTTAAACTTTCGGAAATAATATTTTTTTAGGCATGAAATTGATTTTTGATCAAATTCAGAACATGAATAAATTTGTTACGATTGCGAAGAAATCATTTTCATAGTGGAAAATTTATTGTTTATAAATTAATTATGTATGTATATATGTATGTATTTTATTGCTTTCTGAGAGGGTTGACAGAGTGCTCTCTTATAGCAAGGATTATAAATTAATTATAAAAAATGCTCGTAATTCCAAAAAATTGCAAGTTTTAAATTATTTCATCAATTTTCCTCCAAAAGTAAACTTTCTAATTTTTTTTCAGATTTTTAAAATATTTTCTAACGATTCAATATCCGCAAGTAATTGTAAAATGTTCGGAAAATTGGGGTCAAATGGGGCTCAAATGAAAGGTCTGATTTTCGACTACAAAAGTAGAAGAGCATTTCACTGGTGAAAAATTAGCTCCAGTACTTGGATATCATTAACTTTAACAACGCTATGTCATATTATGATGAAGAAACTAAATTAAATTCCCGATAAAAAAATTGTTTGCGACAGAAAAATAATCTTAGAATGGAAAATAGGTGAAACAGAAATTATTTTATGGACTAAACATTTTATGGAAAATTCCAAATTTCCACCCAACAAATTTGAGCTAATTTTTGCCTTTGAATTCATACCTCACGTTGGCCCTTCAAATTATCACTATCTTGGAGGGGCAGTGTGAAATCCTTCGGTTCGACTTTGATATCCTTTCCCAGATCATTTAGAATCTCCTGGGCAGCCTGTTCCTCCAAGGACACAGGCTTCTCCTCGTCAGGTTCCTTCTTGATCCCTGAGGCATCTATTGGGACCTCATTACTCGAGGCTTTTCCATTGGGGACTCCAGAGCCCCCTGAGCCCTTCTCCTCAGCATTCTCTCCATTCTCTCCGTTTTTCACTTTGGGCTCGAAAATATCTGCATCGACTTTGTTAACAATTCTGTCGTGCCAGGTTCTGGATCCCAGCATGGGAATCACCAGGGGCTCATCCTTTTTCTCTTCACCTCTGCAAAATGAGGAATTGTATGAATAATTGAAATTAATGCATGATTGCCCAAATGCATCATGAGTGTCACATTCAATTCTCAATCACAATGGAGAATAAGGTAAATCACCCTAGGCTCGTCTAGGTAAGCTGAACACGTCATTAGTTCAATATTTCTATCGAAATGAGTGTGAAGATGTTATGGTTCAAATTAGACATCAGAGGATAAAACCTTCAGGATTAGAATTCACTCATATTCATCATGATAGCTACTATTTGTTAATAAATAATCGTCCGTAAATGTGGAAAGTCTACTCTCGTCTCGTGATGTGAGCGATATGGAAAGGTTGTAGGGGAGGGTGGGGTAAAATGGACATTTTAGACTTTTTTTTGATTATTCATAACTTAGAAACAAAATTATCAATTGAGCTCAGTTTAGGTTCGTCACAAAGGGAAAGAATTGTTTTTTGTATTGAAAAAAAAAATTATTAAATTTTATCAACACTTCAACCCCTTATTAACATTTAAAAAAAAGTTAAGTGTCCGTTTTGCCCCAACCTCCCCTATCCAATTAATAACATCGTGAGTATCCTGTTTTGTGATAAAACAACAGTAAAAAGTGTCACGAGGCACAAAATTATATTTCAATTGGACAGTCCAACCTTTTAAATGATTTTTTCATCCATTTAGTCCGTTACCAGTTGACAGTTGGTTGCAAAACGAGGATACACTGAGAGAAAAACAACAAAATTCTCAAACAAGTCTTACTTGTACCAAGAAAATAGTTTTTTGAAATTTTTTGAAATTTTGAATTCATGAAATTACGATTTTTGATTTCCGGGGGTGAAACCAATAACATCCTATCGGGAACTTAATGACTCCAATCGTATTTCACTCTCAATAGATTCTTGGGGCTGTCAAAATGATTAAACTGGAATAGCTCGCGACATTTGAACCAGCATAGGTACATTTACCTGAACGCGTTAATTTTTTTATTGACGAATAATAAATTATCTTAATGATTGCGAACAACATGCGACGTGTGTAACACGTTAGATGCATTTTGAGGTTAACATCTTGACAATCCTCAAAGAACAATAAACAATAAACTCACCCAATGACTATGATTGATTTATCATCAAGACACTCGATGAAATCAATTTTCTTAACTTCCGGTTCCTTAACATTTTTCAAAACCGGTTTTTTGATGGACTTGGAAAACCCAAAAGATATTTTCTTTCCTTCCTCTGCCATTATAGCCTCAAAATCACCGAAAAAACGTCGGTAAAAAAAGTTATCAACAATGGAAAACACTTGTCATTATCACTTCACCGATAAACATTCAAAAAATTGTCAAAAACTTCGAATATTGTTGTAAGAAATACTAATGGGTGAAATTACAACGAATGCAGTTCTAACGTAAACAAAACCGGAGACGGAGCAATCGGGCGAATGGAGAAAATCGACCTCGAGTGACAGTCCTTTTAGACACGTTCTAGGGAAAATGGCGTCAGTACGGGAGGTGCGGTGAAACAGAGATACCAATCGAATTTTCTAGTAGATTATTCTCATTTCAAGCGGAATTACAAACCGACTCGAACTAGAGCAATAGGTTGTCAGCAGGAAACTATTATTTATAAACAAATGACGGTGGTAAATTACTTGTAATCGTTAGCAGATGAATGTAATTCATTTGTCAGTGTTTAAGGATTACTCAGTTGATTAGTAAATTAAAAAAACTAAAGACATACTAAACAAGAATCAACATTCACTTGACGAAGAAATTCAATTTCACCGAAAGTCGACTTTCCCTCGGACAAAATCGGAGATCTGACCCTTCATCCAGGTGAAATAATTTTTTTTGAACATGAAATATCCAAAAAAACGAACAATTCCTATTGGAGAATGTTTCTAAGGACTCGCTCGATCCCCAAAAAAATTGCCAACCCCGTCGGAAACGTATTTGAGGATAGTAGAAGTAGAAGTTAAAAGTTCGTTTATTGCGATTTTTACAAGAGAACAAATTTTTTGAACATGAAATATCCGAGAAAACCATACAATTCCTATAGACCTTTTCATTCTGAGAGTCACTAGATTTGCGGACACTTTTTTCCCATGTTAATTCCCCTAGGATTTGCGGACACTTTATCGAATTTAAATATAAATCATGGTTTTTGAGCGCTCAAGTGTTTATCATTGTAAAGTTCAATATTTATCAGAATTTTCCATGGTTTTTTCGAAGATTTTTTCGTTGAATGAACGAAATAAATATTTCCCCTAGATTTCCAGAATGAAAAGGTCTATTGGAGAATGTTTCTAAGGACTTCCTCAATCCCCTAAAAAATTGCCAAACCCCTTCGGAAACTTACTTGAAGGTAGTAGAAGGGTTCAAACTTTGGTTTTGCGTTTTTTACACAAAACAATTTTTTTTCAACATGAAAAGGCCAAAAAAACCAAACCATTTCTAATGGGGCATGTTTCTAGGTACTCCTCCAATTCCATTAAAAATGAGAGTGAAAACTTTGTTTTTTGCGATATTTACAGAAAAAAAGTTCTTGAACATGACATATCCAAAAATATAAATAAATGTATGAAAAAATACAGAATCAACATTCACTTGGCGAAAAAATTAGATTTTGCCGAAATTCGACTTTCCCCGTGGAAAAATCCAAGATTTGACACCCTGGCCTCAGGTGAAAATGAAAATTTTTTATTTTGACATTTCTGGCGCTTCCGAGTGTGCACAAAAAATACGCTCAAAATTAATGATTACCGTTCACAAGATCGTCGTCATTTCTAAATGCACCGTCCAAAACCTTTTTCTCGTTGCTAATAGCTCTCGTACTTCTCCACTGGCTGATTCAATTTCTTGTATTCATCTTATTATATTCAATTCAGTATAGTTTTGCACATTACCTTTTATTGTTCGAGTCTTCTAGAAGGTGAATTATATATTTCAACATAAATCCCATAAGAGTCTGTGTATAAAGAAAAAATTGTTCATTTATTTCCGGCGAGACTATCGCGATTAATTCTTTTTTAACAGCAAAGAAGTTAGTTTCATATGTTCTGCTATCAGCCAAAAAAGTTACAGACTTTTCCTTGAACATGAAAAAATAAAATTTGCTGAAAATGGCTAAACATACTTAATTTCTCACTAGGATGGCCTGATGGACGGATTGGGGAAGCTCGATGAGACTTCATCCTCGTATTATTGAGAATTTAATATAGATAAATATACCTTCCTTTGTTGGCTAGCACATTGTCAACAGGGTAAAGGATAAGGGACAAAATAGCGCTCATAAAGCCCATTTATAAGCCGAAATTTGAATGATTAATTAAAAACAAACGAAACGATGAAACTACTCAGTTTTTTTTTACAATTTTCCTTTTACCATTCTTGATTATTATATGACATTCAGTTCGCTAGCACATTATCGTTGTGGCAAAAATGACTGAGGAGACCCCTTAAGGGGTAACGGAAGCCGTTGAAATAAACTTATTTATGTTCAAGCTTTTCTTTTATTCTATGCAATGTAAATGGCCGATATTTTCACCACTTATTAAGAGAAGCATAAGGGAGGGTTTGTAACCCTTCATATATAAGAGAAAATTTTGCAATTTTTTTCATAACAATTTTTTTTGCAAAAATAAAAAAATTGAGGGTTACACACCCTCCCTCATGCTTCCCTCAATATGTGGAGAAAATTTCAGCCATTTTTATTGAATAGAATCAGAGAAAAGCGTGAACAAAATCTGCTCTTTTCGACGGGTTCCGTTACCTCTTAAGGGGTAACAGAATGCCGCTAATTTTCCAAATTGTTGAACAAATTTCCTGCTGAAAGTTGTCGGTATTTTCACAAATCACAGCACATTAATCTCCAAGAAGTGATGATAAAGATCAATGTGTTTTGGGTTGAAAAAATATTGATGACTTTGAGCAAGAAATTTGTTTGAAAATTTCGAGGAAACGGTGGTCTTCTGTTATCCCTTAAAATTACCCCACCTGAATTCGGCGGCGGAAAACCCCGATTCCTCCCTTACCACTGGCCACTAGTTCCCCTCATTCCCAACAGCCGCCAAGCCCGAAAAAAAACCTAAACCCCTCGGCAACGCGCATGCGTGACCTTGAGACAAGGTGACCGGTTGGCATCGTCTCGCGAAGAAGGGGAAAATCATCACTCGGGGTCCATCGCTCCATCAGTCCACGAGTGTGTGTCGCCACCATCCAAAAATAATTCATAAAAGCACCTAAAAATCGTATAAATAAATCAACAATCTAACAATAGAAGTGCTCGAGCAAATTGTCGATTGATTGAAAAAAAAGTGAAAATGTCAATGAGCGATATAGATCATGAGAAGAAGAAACAAATATCGGTTAGGGGTATCGTTGATGTTGTGAATGTTGGAAATATCAAGAAGGCTTTCAACCGGCATGTTCATTATACCCTTGTGAAGGATAGAAATGTCGCCACAAGCAGAGATTATTATTTTGCATTGGCACACACTGTCAAGGATAATCTCGTCTCGAGGTGGATCCGCACACAGCAGCATTATTACGAGAATGATCCTAAGGTACTTGAATTTATTCAGTTGATTTCACAGTTTATGAGTCTTATTTTGAGGCTTATGAAGGGGTTCAAGGACGCGAGACCTTGTCCCCGATGATTGAGACGGACAGAGAGATGTGATCGTCCAACACTTGAGCTGCTTGAACCACTTAGGGGACTATAATAGATGTTTTAGATCATCTAAACAATGAATATGTGACAGTTATGTAGCGGTTTATTGATGCGTTTGGAGGGGGAAACAGCTCATATTGGGAAACTAGCTCGGTTATACGTGGGTTTAGGAGAAAATGTCGAAAGATATTTTTTGGAGATAATATTTTCTACGGGAATTCATTCTTAATCATTAGTAATTCAACATCGACAGAGTGAGAACCATTTTTTTTATTTCAAAATTTTTTTTCATGTTTTCAAATAACACCTAATCATCTTAATCGCAGGATTTGGTCAGATCTTGATGATTCCAAAAGGTTCGGTTAATTTGGCGTTTAGCTCGGTAATAGACGGCTTTAGAAAAAAAAAGTCGAATAGATGTTTCGTAGATTATAAAGTTTTCTGTAAAAAAGTTATTTTCATATTTTCTCGTTGACTCGATAGTTACCTAGATAATTTTACAATTAACACTCCTTTGGTCACGCTGTGAGCACCTCGCCGCACTTTTTCCGATTTTTTAAATTACACTGTGAAGCCTCGGAAAAAATTGAAAAAAACTAATATTTCATTTTCAAGTGTTGAGAAGCCCTATTAATGAAAATACCCGCTGAAAATATCGTAAGTAGTGAACTTTTCAAATTTTTATTCCGAAAGTCTGAGCCGTGTGCCGTGCTTTTGAATATATAATTAAGGGTAACACTGAACATGAAAAATCTTATGGGACTTCTTCAAGTAGGGTAAACAAGTCAATTTCTGAACGATTTCATCTTGCATTGAATATTTCATGAATGAAATGAATATTGTACTGATTATTTCACCTTGCAATAATATTACTCGTGTATAATCATGTGATCAATTATTTTTTCTATTGATCGACATTTAATAAGTAAAAAAAATATTGCCCAATCGTGCAGAAATTAGGGGTTTCGACTGCATTCAACTATTTCTTAATTTAATTATTCTTTGTTTTGTTATTTTCACTTCAAATAATTTTTCTCGGCTAATTAACAGACATCTTCATAATCGAAATTTTGAATTACAGTTAAATTTTGAATAAGTCAATTGGTAATATTACTCATCCATTTTTTGATTATAACAATAACCATCAATTTAAATTTTCAAATTCCGAATTATTTTATCAACTAATAATTGAGAAATTGAATTACCAATTATTACATTATTTTTTAAATTTCAATTGCGATAAAGAAATCTAAATTACTGTAAGGTACAATTCCTCATACTATTACTAAAGTAATGATTGATGCCGATTTATGCTAATTAATAGATTCTTGAAGGTATAGAAGCCATCATGTCCCCATTGGCGTGATTCTTTTATTTTAACCTTCATACGGCACTCGAATTTTCCTTAAGCGTCCAGCAATTGGCCTGTTCACCCTATACGATCTAGATCCATTTTGATTTCTTTCAGATTTTTCCTAGATCTTTTAAATGTATCATTATGTCGTTGTCGATTTATGCTGGTACGGTGCGGCGCTTACGGCGCGACCAACGGAGTGTTAAAACTGGATGAGTCGAGTTATCACAATTTTCCACTGGCGTTCAGATGTTATTACTCTCTACTCTCTGTTCTCGTAGTAATAGTCAGTATTAGTATTGTAATCGGTGAGGGAGAATTCTCTCATAATTGTCTTAAATTTGATAACTCCAGGAGTTATTTACGAGTTTTTTCCTCCTTTTGTTACTCAATTTACAGAAAATGAATTTATGTAACATTTGCTTTGATGATTGATTCTATCACTTTTCGCCTTTTTACGAGGCTAAGAATGATTTTTTCACGTGATAATACTGCCTCAGGAACACCGAGGATTAAGAAATTTAAAAAATTGAAAATAATTTATTTTCCGTGAATTTTTGTTGTGCAATTTACGATTTTATTTTCAACTCCACTTGTCATGTCGCTTCATCTAGACGATTGGCTGTCATGACGTCATTTTATTCTCTGAGATGAAGTATTGGGCCATTTTGAAATGATGCTGGGACAGATCTTTCTAATCATAATATGAAAATTATATTTTTAAGGAACTCATGAGATAATGAGGTAATGAATTTTTATTGTCGGAAGAATGGGAAATTTCGATTGTGTAAGATTGGCGTTTTGAAGTATTTCGAAGCCAAGATTCCGTTCGTTGGACCATTTCCAGAATGATTTCCCACATTTTGGCGGTCATGCTGATGGGTTTGGGAATATCCATTGTTTATTTTTGTTTCAAGTTCAGCCCAACATTTTTTCTGCTTCACAATTATGATTAGATCATGAGAGTGAGCTAATTAACCACATTAATAAGTCATTTTTTTGACTGTGAGCGATGTCTGGTTGTTAGCCGACATCAGGTTAGCAACCTCGCCTGAGGAAAAGCCAAAAAAGAAAGAAGTTTATTTTTATCTGCCACTCTGAGATATTTGAAGCCTGGAATAAACATTAAACGAATAATCATCTTTGTTCATCATGAAAACAAGAGGAAAACACGCGACTATATTGTTGCGATCGTTAGAACATTCGAAATGCAGACGAATTCAACTTACGATGCCCTCTTCTGATTCAAATTCTCCAATGATTTTTTGTAGAGAGTCTACTACCTCTCCCTGGAGTACTACATGGGCAGAACTCTTCAAAATACGATGATCAATCTGGGCATCCAGGGGGCATGTGATGAAGCAATGTATCAGGTAAGCAAGTGTACAGAACATTTATTTCCTTTTGATTGAAATCTTGAAATTCTTTCAAAAATTAATCACGAAGTAGTCTTTGAATGTGTTCAATCCATCCTGAAATTGTCATAAATTCAGCTATAGGAGAATATTTTAACCCTAGTGTGGCCGCCAAACGCAACTTTGCGTCTTGCTCACCTCCGCGGGGATTCCCCGCAGTGTTATTCAGGCTTTAGCGTTGCCGAATTCACTCTACACTGCCCGGGCGCGTTTAGCGAGTTTCCGGCAACGTCGCGTCATGGGCAATTTCATTTAGCGCGGGAAAAAATAATTCATCTGTCCGAAATAATTTGTTTTCTTTAGGAATGTTGGGAAATATGTTGTTCTCAAAACTACTATAATTTTTTAGACACTTCAATTGACAAAGTCAAATTTTTTTTATTTTTCCGGTTAGCCAGTTAATTGTAATTAATGAAAATCGACGCGCGGCGGGGTTTCCCTCATAGGGTGACCAATCAAGGGTTAAGATCACACGCTCGTAAAAATTTAAGGGTATCCAAGAATCTTTTATAATTTAGTGCAGACCACAGTATAGATTTAACCATTTTCAATCATCAAATTTGTCAATTAAATTGCGTGAGAAATATTTGAAAAAATCATGAATAATCAGCGTCATTCAGATTGCATTCTGCACAGAATTGTTTTTTTTACATTCGTTGTCTATAAATAAATGATTAAAATTATTCAAACTTTTGGAAACCTCATTTTTTAGGCATAAAATCGATTTCTGGTAAAATTCTGAATATTAATAAATTTGCTACGATTCCGAAGAAATGATTTTTATCGTGGAACATTGATTGTTTATCCATTATTTATAGAAAATCCTCGTAAATTTGTATCGCATTTTGAAGCCTAAGTTTCCTAAGAATTTCAAGCTTTCACTGTCCCCCATCAGCCGACGATCAATGACTGTTGTGGCCTGATTATAACACTTGTGTCCATATATGGAGAAAATTAATGGAGATACCAAGCCCTTTTTCTAAGCAATCCCATTGAAGTTTCATTGGAATTCTATGAAAATTCTGTTTATTCGAAATGATTCTACAGAGCCCAAATCGTCCAAATTTCATGTTCCCTAAATTAGGTTTATACTACCCTTTTCAACTTCGTTGACATAACAATCCCAAAATGGTCAATACCTTTTTTCACTTAGCACGCGATATGAATCATCCTCTCGAAAGTTTTTCTACAGAAATTTTTGGACATAAATTTTCTATATTTTTTGCTATGTTCTTTTTGTTCCGATTGCAAAGTTCAAGGAAAAAGGCATAGAGAATGCAAGACAAATTAAAATTTCTGTAAAAGGAACTATCCATTCAGTAATGAAACGGTAAAACGGTTACAGTCGACTTGGATTATTGTCTAGTTTTCAAAACTAGAAAATGAATATCTCGAAATCTAAGGGAGATCTAAGAAGGTATTTTTGTCCTGACCGTTTTTGTATTGACCTATTTTCTACAGAATTTCCTCGGCTTACATTTTTCAAGTTTTTTTTCATTCTATTCTTCTTTTCTTTTGTTGGATAAAAAATTGGAATTCTATTGACTTTTTCCATAAATCCAATAGAAATGTCTAGCGAATTCACTAGGTTTTTCAGTTAAATTTCTTCATACGTGTTATGCCACTTTGTTAGGGGAGAGTGGGGCAAAATGAAACAGTAAAAAAACGACTGACGCAATTCAAGCAGAAAAAAATTTTTTTATTAAATATTTTTGTTGTTAACTTTTTTTTATTCTTGGGAGTACTGATGAGAATAACAATTTTCCATTCAGTAGAATAGAAAATTATTGAGAAGTTTTGATGGGGGAAGATTTTGTCAATGGATTATTCCATTGAAATTTAGTATCACATTTTTATTTTTTCCCCTCTGGGCCTCCCCCTGGGTCTTGCCCTGGACTTTGGATTTTGCTGTTTCATTTTCTTTTCAATTAATCCATTGACAAAATCTTCGTCCGTCAAAACTTCTCGATAGTTTTCCACTCTACTGAATGGAAAATTATTATTTTCATCAGTATTCCCAAGAATAAAAAAAAGTTGGTGAAAAAAAAATTTAATAGCAAATGTTCTTTTTGATTGAATTGCGTCAAACAGTCGTTTTTTGACTGTTTCATTTTGCCCCACTCTTCCCTACATCACGATCGAAACTATAGGTTTCAAACGTCTGATTTTCAATGAATTATAAAAAGTATCTAGCCAACATTTCCCCACAATTCTTTCCGTTTAACCATCTATGGCTTACGTAGAATGGGTGGCTAGAGAACTTAGGGAAGATTGAGCTCCACGCAAGTTCCTCATTCAATCCCTCGTCTCTCCTTTCCAGATGGGTCTCGATATCGAAGAGCTGGAAGAACTCGAGGAAGACGCAGGTCTGGGTAACGGTGGTCTAGGTCGTCTGGCCGCCTGTTTTCTCGACAGCATGGCCACCCTGGGCCTAGCCGCCTACGGTTACGGCATTCGCTACGAGTACGGTATCTTCGCGCAAAAGATAAAGAACGGCGAGCAGTTGGAGGAGCCCGACGACTGGCTGCGCTACGGCAATCCCTGGGAGAAAGCCCGTCCCGAGTTCATGCTCCCCGTGAACTTTTACGGTCACGTTATCGACACCCCAGAAGGTAAAAAATGGGTGAACACCCAAGTGATCTTTGCAATGCCCTACGACTCTCCAATTCCTGGTTACAAGAACAATCACGTGAACACCCTTCGTCTCTGGTCGGCAAAATCTCCAATTGAATTCAACCTGAAGTTCTTCAACGACGGCGACTACATCCAAGCAGTTTTCGACAGAAATCTGGCTGAGAACATCAGCAAAGTCCTCTACCCCAACGACAACTTCTTCGAAGGCAAGGAACTCCGGCTGAAGCAAGAGTACTTCATGGTGGCAGCCACCCTCCAAGACATAATCAGACGCTACAAATCCAGCAAATTCGGCTCTCGCGATCACCACAGAACCGACTTCGAGCAATTCCCAGACAAGGTAGCTATACAACTGAACGACACTCATCCATCCCTAGCCATTCCCGAGTTGATGCGAGTGCTTGTCGACGTGGAGGGCCTCCCTTGGGAGAAGGCCTGGAACATAACAACTCGCACCTGTGCCTACACCAACCACACAGTCCTCCCAGAGGCCCTGGAACGCTGGCCAGTATCAATGCTCCAGAGTATTCTCCCCCGTCACCTCGAGATCATCTACCACATTAATTTCCTCCATCTCCAAGAGGTTGGAGCGCGATACCCTGGCGACTTTGATCGCCTTCGAAGGATGTCCCTCATTGAGGAGGACGGCGACAAACGAGTGAACATGGCGCATCTGTCTATCGTTGGGTCACACGCCATCAACGGAGTTGCCAGAATTCACTCAGAGATACTCAAGGACTCGGTCTTCAGGGAATTCTACGAAATGCATCCTGAAAAATTCCAGAACAAGACCAATGGCATAACCCCGAGGAGATGGCTCTTGCTCTGCAATCCTAATCTTTCTGATGTCATCGAGTCGAAGATTGGCGCTGACTGGGCTGTTCATTTGGAGCAGCTTCAGCAGCTGAAGAAGTGGGCGAAGGAGCCCAATTTTCAGAGATCTGTGGCTAAAGTCAAACAGGAGAACAAGCTGAGGCTGGCTGAACTACTCGAGAAGGATTATGGGGTCAAGGTGAATCCTGCTTCTCTCTTCGATATCCAAGTGAAGAGAATTCACGAGTACAAAAGACAGTTGTTGAATTGTCTGCACATTATCACGTTGTACAATCGAATTAAGAAGAATCCCTCGGCTCCATTCGTCCCGAGGACCATTATGATAGGGGGAAAGGCAGCACCTGGCTATCTTCTCGCTAAGAAGATCATCAAGCTCATCTGCAGTGTTGCTCAGGTCGTTAACAACGATCCCATTGTTGGTGACAAGCTCAAGGTCATCTTCTTGGAGAACTATCGAGTGACACTGGCTGAGAAAATCATCCCAGCTGCTGATCTCAGTGAGCAGATATCGACTGCTGGCACTGAGGCCTCTGGCACTGGAAATATGAAGTTCATGTTGAATGGTGCTTTGACCATTGGAACTCTGGATGGAGCTAATGTTGAAATGGCTGAGGAAATGGGGAATGAGAATATATTCATTTTTGGAATGACTGTCGATGAGGTGGAGGAGTTGAAGAGACGTGGGTACAATGCTTGGGATTATTATAATAAATTGCCAGAGGCCAAGCAGTGTCTTGATCAGATCACTGGGGGCTTCTTCAGCCCTAATAATCCTGATGAGTTCAAGGATATTGGGGATGTTCTCATGAAGTGGGACAGATTCTATCTGCTGGCGGATTATGAGGATTATATCAAGACTCAGGATAGGGTCTCCAAGGTCTATCAGGATACCACCAAGTGGGTGGAAATGGCTATTCATAATATCGCGAGCTCTGGGAAATTTTCGTCGGATAGGACGATTGGGGATTATGCCACGGAGATCTGGGGGGTTGAGCCTTCGTGGAAGGCACTGCCTGACCCTCATGAGCCTAGGGATGTTTAAGGGAGGCTCATTTGGGAGTCTTGTTGAGGCTGGGAGGGCTGATGTTTGAGAGATTGTTGATTTTGATTTTGATTTTTTGGGGTGAGAAGGAGCTTGGAGAATATCTTGAGAACTCAGGGGTTGAGAAAAGAATGTTGAGAGAATTTTTGCTGCTGGTTAAGTTCTCTGCAAAAGGGGTCAATTTAAATTTCTCTTTGAATTTCTCGTGCGTTTAGGGGTGTTTGCAAAATTGTAAGAAAAACCGTTTTTGATTATTTCGAAATCTTGGAAAATTCTGTAGCCATAATTTTGCAAATATCTTGGGAACTATTGGATTTAGAGAAAAATGTTGAGAAACTTTTGTGCAGCTTGTGAAATTCTCTACAGAAATTATTTTCGTCTCAATCTACTAGTTCAACAATGTTTTTAGGTTAATGTGTTTTTGATAATTTTCGTCCATTTTCTTAATTGAAAATGAATTGTAAATTACAGCTGAATCATTTTTCCAACTGCCTGCATTAGTATTGGCATTTCTCCTCCTTCTCCAGGCCACTTTGCGGTTCTCGGCTATTTTAACGTTCACAATGAATTAAAACAAAAAATCCATTTACTTTTGAATTGTAAATTATTTCAACTGGGTTCAACGGTAACTCTCTTACATCGTCACTGATAAACATCGAAAATAATCTCAGTAATTCTATACTTCGTTTTTAAATTCATCAACATGAATGCAGTTTAAACGTCTATTGATGATAACATTATCAGCTCACATTTTTCTTCGCACAATTGAGATTTTCATGCCAAAGTTCAACGCTCATCGCGACAATTACAAATGTGTTCCGTGAGATTTACTAAAATAAAAGAAAAGTTTTACAGTCTGTTGAATAAAATTGTCCGAAGTTTAGAGAAAAGTATTCGTTATATACAATATTTTTTTAAAATACTCCAATCAATAATAGAGGAAAGGTACAAAGAAATGATGAGGATTTATTGTTACATGAGAGATCTATGACAGGTGATAAATTAATTTATATGATAATGCCTAATATACAGTCATTGATGACTTTAAATTCAGAATTGATGATCGATGATATTTCTGTATGTTGTTAATGCTTTGTGCCATCTGTCAAGTTTTTTATGGGTGGCCTGTTAGAACAAATATATGCATTGCCGACAGTTTATATTGTGTTTATTAATCATCTTTATTTCACGTATAATATATCTGTTGTGTTTACGCATGAAGAAAATTAATAGAAAAACCTAGCGAATTCGCAAAACAATTCCATTGGTTTTCTATTAAACTTTCGGTTGAAATGTTCAATGAAAAATATTCTATAGAAAAAGTCTGTTGAATTTGGTTTTTCTATACAACTTATTCTATTCGGATATTTTCTATAGAATTCCCTCAGCTCAAATTTTCGAAGTTTTCGCTTGCGAATGGACAAAGTTTTTCTTCAATTGTTCGCTAATGACTGAATGGAATTGAATCTTTTTTTTCAAATGTAGGTAAAATAAAACATCAGAAAAGGGAATTACATTGCATATTGAAGAATACAACATGGAAGTTTTCCAAAACTTGTGCTAAACTGTTGGTGACACGACTTATCAACTGAACGATATTTCAACTGCGACATCGAAACTAAAATTTTTCAATTACGACATTTTAACTAAAATTTGTCTGCTTCAACGATTCAAATGTATTTTTGAAAAATATTTACTGCCGTTTTTACAATATCTTTGACAAGATTTCTTCAATGTGTTGGAATACACTCGGATGATAACCAAATGAGCTCACGGACGAAAAAATTTAATAGAAAAACCTATCGAATTCGTTAGAAAATTCTATTGAATTTCTATTGAACTGTTCCATTAGTTTTTGGCAGATTCTATTGAAATGTTCAATAGAAAATATTCAGTAGAAAAAGTCAATAGAATTCAATTTTTCGATATAAATTATTATATTGAGATATTTTCTATGGAATTTTCTCGGCTTAAATTTTTCGTTTGACTTTCTTGATGAGAAGAAAAGAAAAATAGAATGAAAAAAACTTGGAAAATTTGAGTCCAGCAAATTCTATAGAAAATATATGAAAAGAATAAGTTATATAGAAAAATCGAATTCTGTTGACTTTTTCTAGTGAATGTTTTCTATTGAACATGTCAATAGAATCAGCCAAAAACTAATAGAAAGTTTAACAGAAATTCAATTCGAATTTTCTAACGAATTCGTTAAGGTCTTCTATTAAATTTTTTCGTGCGTGCTGAGAAGGATACACCAGGTGTTTTCGCCATGGGTTGACTCTTGTAGAGATCTTCCGTATCGCTCTATCAACCGAATTACTAAAATAAGTACAGAAGCAAAATGGGAAAAGATAATCATCACGAAGCGACTTGATAGTAATGATTATCCCAATCGAATTTTGTGCAGAGTGAACACCAGATAATCGTAACGCCTCTCACATTTACAACTAGCAGCGAAGGAAGGAAGTTACTGGTGGATGAGATTTTTGTTTATTTTATGAGTATCGGTTGATTAATTTAATTTGGGCTTATTGATTGTTGAGTTCAAGTATTTATGTTTTTTTTTGGAAGTTGAAATAATAAATGTAGAACTATGTTCAACGCAATATTATTGTTAATTTTTTGTCCGTAAGTAGCTGTTTAAAGCCTACATCAAGTGTCATAGTTAAAAAATCCCAGTGGATTTGTCACAGTTTAAATGTCTAACTGATTGATAATTGGTGGAACGAAATGATTCCTCATTCACCAGAATTCCGTACTAAAATCCTTGAAAAAAAAGACTTCTCTCAATTTAAAATCTTTCAATTTCAGTTGATTAATTTGATTTAGGCTTATTGATTGTTTAGTTCAAGTATTTTTATTTTTTTGAAAGTTCAAATAATAAATGTAGAATTATGTTCAACGCTATATTATTGTTAATTTTTTGTCCGTGAGTAGTTATTTAAAGCCTACCTCAAGTGTCGTAGTTAAAAAATCCCAGTGGATTTGTCACAGTTTAAATGTCGTTCAACTGATAACTGGTGGAACGAAATCGTTCCTCGACCAGAATTCCGTACTGAAATCCTTGAAAAAAAAGACCTCTCAATTTAAAATCTCTCAATTCCAAAATGAAGAAATTTAATTGAAAAATCTCCTTCCCATGATATTATCGATCATTCCCGTTCCTAAATTTCCATCCCATTGAAAATTGAACGAACTTTAATTTCCTAGAGCTGAAAAAATAAAAGGAAACATTAACAGTATCTTATGCGCATGTCCATTTAAATTCCTTCCGTCAAATCGAATGAGAAAAAATCATTAGAGAGCTAGATTGTGTCATTCCAACTCGCTAATGATCATATGCACACCCTCGCCTGTCGCATGAGTCACCAGCAAATCGACAAGAGATCACACTACAATACGTAACAGTAATACCCCAATATATATCATAACACCAATGTATAATACAAGACATCTGCTTGACGCGGTGTCAGCTGCGTCGAATCCCAACAATGTCGCTGTTGAAACCGTCTCCAGCTGATTTTGAATACAACGATATCCAGGCAAAGCTGGTGGTAAGTAGAACTTCGGAAATATCTCCGCCTGAATCCCGGGAAAAATTAGAACAACTCGTTCGCTTCAAAAATACACTTCGATGAAAAAATATAGACAGGCAGATTTTTCACTGTTCACTTCGGCAATCATCGGAGGACCGAAGGTGGGGGCAGCTGCGGCGACATTCGAATTGTTGAGAAAATGTGACATTTGAGATTTTTGGTTAATTTTTTCCTCTCGGGCCCTTTAATTCGGAAAAATGGTGGAAAATTATTTATGTTGCAGAGTGAAACGAGCCCCGTAGAGCCGATCCGACTTGAAATTAAATCGGCGATTATTGTCATTGGATACGTACCGAGTCATTCCAAGAGGTAATTCAAAATAACTGACACCCAAAAAAAATAATGCCTGGGCGCGGGCGATTGGAGTGAGATTTCTCGTACATTGAAAATTAATTTAGTAGTGAAGTGGTAAAGCGGTTTAAGTCAATTTCGACTATTGGCTAGTTTTGAATGAATATTTCGGAATCTAAGGGAGATAGCAAAATTTTTGTTGTAACCTTTTTTATAGAGCCGATTGAGAGCTACAACAAATGTAATTAGGAAAATTTTGCTATCTTCCTTAGATTCGGAAATATTCCTCAAAAACTCAACTGGGAGATAAGTCGACTTAAACCGTTGTACCGCTACGGATTTAAAGCCTGAAATTTTTAAGTTGAGCGGTTCGAAGGTCTCAATTTGAGTCTTTGAGATGTCAATTCGAGCCTTTGAAGGTCTCAAGTTGAGACTTTGGAAGGTCTTAATTTGAGACTTTGAAAGTCTCACGTTGGTAGTTTTCAATGCCTCAAGCGAAGGATATCCAAGTACTTTGGCTACTTTTTCTCAAATGAAATGCTTTTCTACTTTTGTAGTCGAACATCAGAGCTTTCATTTGGGCCCCATTTGGCCCTCAGTTTCCGGACATTTTACAATAATTTTATTATTCAAACTTTGCAGGTATGAATTTTAATGTCGATATTGAATTGTTAGAAAATATTTTCACAATCTGAAAAAAATTAGAAAGTGCCCGTTTTAAAAATGACAAGCATTTTATAAAAATAATTTATAAACAATCAATTTTCCACCATAAAAATCATTTGTTCGGGATACTTGAATATCCTTAATGCAAAATATCAAATGTGTTGAAAAGTGAAGGAACTTCATTGCGTCCAGTAACCCATTTTGTTAAAAAAATCTACCTGACGAGGCAGAAGTTTTTCAAAATTCTGTAGTTATGATTTTGAAAATATCGTTGGAGAACACTGTTGGGATTTTTTTATAGAAGATGAAATTCTCCCAGAAAAGCGCTCCTGACATTTCCCTCTAAACCTTTGTCTTTCGAAGATAATCACTGATCAATCGGCGACAGTTCTCTACTGACTGTATTTGTTCCAACAATGTTCAATTCAACCCTCTGAAGTTGTGAAATGAAATAAATGACAGTTTGAATATGAATGAAGTTCGTTTAATCAGTAAACAAAATATGATCTAGAGGCAAAAGACAAAAGACAGGGGGAATAGCAGATTGAGAGAGGGGTTGTTCGGGAGAGTTTCTTACAAAAATTGAAGTTCATCTAAATTAATTTTATGACAGTTTTGCATTTAATTTACTATGCCGATCAACTGGAAACATCGCTCTGCATTTCAATCCGCGATTGGAACGAGGATATTGCGTGAGGAATTCCAAGGTCAAGGGATCTTGGGAGACTGAGGAGACTTGCTCAAGAGACGGAGGGGTAAATCCTATTTTTCCGAGAAATTCGTACTTCCATCTTTTGATTTTCTGCGGATCGAGAGAGTTCCAGGTAGGAAAAATCAATCAATTCCTGGATTTATCGATTTTCCTTGTTCAAAATGTCAATTATATGCTCGGGGGTGTTATTTTGAGACAACACCACTAATGAAATTTTTCTCTCTGACGCTTTTTTTGAACGAACATTGGAGATGAATGCATTCAATTATGTATACATGAAACATTCCTAATAATATTTCATAGAAATTTTCAGAAATTTTCGGAATTTCATCAAGTGAAAAATCTAAAACAATTAGTTGGAAAGAAATTGATTCAATTCAAGAAAATGAAATAGGCTATGAATAATAAACAATGGGGAAAAAAGCAAAATGACCATTCGGAAGCATATTGCTAATTTATGAGTTATCAATAGAAACGGACAGCCAATCAAGTGATATTCTCCGACAGAGAGATCATATCATCACATTTTTTTTTATTTTTGCATTGTAATCATTCAAATTTAAGTTTTCTATTTGTTGTGTTATATCGACCCATTATGATCCCAAAAGTCAGAAAATGCATTTTTTAGACAGTGTCTGTATGTTCTCGCTAATAAATAGATGGAATTGAATCATTTTTTTTCTCAAATGTAGTTATTGCTAAGCCCTATCCATCACCATTAATTAAAATTCAATTCATTGATTCATTTTTTTAATTTTCGATTTTTTTCAAAATTCAGTTGTAACACGATAACTAAAAAAAATGTTCTAAATTCATTGAATGACGGCTTAAAAAAATCGTTGGAATGTCCTTTTGACCGAGTTCGAGGATAAAAGCGATAGCAATAATCGTTATTTTGATTTCTGTGAAATTTTTCAAAACTATCGTATTTTTTGAAAATTAGAATTCCGCAGATAGCTCTGGATATTGAGCTTGAAATGAATTCAATCATAGCTTAATATGTTTATTTCTATGCGACTATATCGAAGTTAGAAGATGGTTACAATAACAGTCTCGGTCAATTTGATTTTTAGGATAATTTTTAGAAATTTCGAATTTTTCATGAATTCCTCGGAAAGTTAGCTTTCTGATGGTTCCTTTAAATGTGATGTTTCGAATGCATTCAATTATGTATACATGAAACATTCCTAATGATATTTCATAGAAATTTTCAGAAATTTTCGGAATTTCATCAAGTGAAAAATCTAAAACAATTAGTTGGAAAGAAATTGATTCAATTCAAGAAAATGACATAGGCTATGAATAATGAACAATGGGGAAAAAAGCAAAATGACCATTCGAAAGCATATTGCTAATTTATTAGCAAAAATAACTCTACTATACGTAATACAGGAACAATTTCCCACTTGTTTTGATTAAAAGAAAAGAAGAATAGAATGAAAAAAGCTTGGAAAATTTGAGCTGAGGAAATTCTATAGAAAATATCTCAATACAATAAGTTGCCTATAGCAACAGAATCGGCCAAAAACGAATCGAAAGTTGAATAAAAATTCCAATGAATTTTCTAACGAATTCGCTAAATTTTTCTATGAAATTTTTTCATGCGTGCATTATTCATTAGTTAATTATTATCATTGATGATTGATCAATCAATTTAACTTATTTGATTTCTCTATCGAATTATTCATGTATTTTCTCTGCAGATTGCTGTCAATGGCGAACACTTCTGTGACTTTCCATACCGACAATCCCTCGAATCGATTACGAATTTTGAATACGTGGGAGACGTCGAGGATGTGAGAATCCGTTTGACAAAATTGAATATTTATCCGGATCCGAAGATTGTTAAACCCCGTCGATACCTTGAACTTTCCCAGGAACAACCCCTCTCTGATAATCTCGTACGTATTGACGATTATGACAGTTTTTTTTGTTGCATTGATCTTCTGCACTGGCTCTTTTATTGCTGATCGTGTAAAGATTTCAGATAATTTTCTCATTAATTCATAATCCAGCAGATTTATGTAATTTGTTTACGCGTATTTGCGAAAATATTTTTTCATTTATTCATAACATAGTTTTCTTTTATTTATCAGAAGTGATAATTTCGTTGTTCTGTGGTTACTGATAAGAATTTTTAATTATTTTTTCGATGAAATTAGAATTCTAATCGTGAATTACATAAGCGAGTGAGTATATCGATTATGAGGGATTTTGATGAGAAGAATTATTCATTGAAAAGGTATCACGTACAAAAAATTGAGAGAAATTTTTAAGTCTAAATTATGATTTTTACTATGAATTTTAAAAGTCGCTGACTATTGGAATTTGGAGATTTCTCATACATTGAAGATCGATTAAATATGTCTAAAAACGAATAACTAGCGCACAAAATTAATTGTTTATTGCTAGTTTACACCGCAAACGCCTAAAATGTTCAAAATAGTCCAGGGCCTCCAATATTTCAGTAGCGAAGCGGTAAACCGTGTTAAGCCGATTTTGACTAGTGGCCAATTTTTTAGGAATATCTCGAAATCTAAAAAAAACATAAAAATGACCTTTTGTCATGACCTTTTTTGTTGATCCAATTGAGTTTCATAAAAAGGAAAAATTTTGCTATCTCTCTTAGATTCCAAGATATTCATCAAAAACTGACCAAAAGTCAAACCCGACTTACCCGGTTTACCGCTTCGCTACTGATTTGAGCTACAGAGATGATTTTATTTTCAAAATTTTTGAAAAAAAGTGTACCATAACAATTTCGAATTAGTTTTTTCAAATTCAACTCCTACACAGCTAATTTCGTTATTTTTTTAAATAAAAAATTGCACCATTCATGTAAAATAACCCGAAAAATGTTTCTGAAAGAATCGAGAATATATTTCAAATATTTTACGAATAATTTTTCCGCCTATTCTTTAGGAATGGCGCAAATTTTCTTATTAAACAAAACGAAATTAGCTGTGTAAGACTCGACGTTCAAAAAATTAATTCGTTATTGTTATTGTACATATCTTTTCAAAAATTTACCAAAAAAACGCCTGTAGCTCAAAAATTGGAGGCCCTGGACTATTTTTAACATTTTAAGCGTCTGCGGGGCAAACGAACAATAAACTACTAATGTTTTTGCACTAATTACTCATTTTTAGACATATACAATCGATCTTCAATGCATGAGTAATCTCACTACAATAGCCCACGACTTTTAAAACTCATAATTGTCTCCCCTTAATGAAACAAGAAAAAAATGCAGTGGCAAATGCTTTACGTTGAAAAATTTCCATAGAAAATAACCCAATAGAGTAAGTTCTATAGAAAGATCTAAATCCATTGATTTCCTTCTATAAAATATTTTATATAAAAAAATAATAAATAATTTTAATAAAATTCCCATAGAAATATTCTGCAAGTGAGCTAGGGTTTTGTCTATGAATTTTTTTTCGTGCGTTGAAATTATCTCCAAAAAAGCCTGCTGATGCCTTTTGCTAGTATCGCTCATCTCTGAGGAAATTTAATTGTCAAGAAGATAAGCTAAGTAACTTGAAATTTAAACCGATTAATATTGGTTAAAATGATTTATCTCTAAAATGATTTATAGACCGAGAAACCCATTTTACACAAAAGAAATCTTCTGATAACTCCCTCCAGCGACCCAAGTTCAAATTGTTGATAAAAACATATTTCTTGGAATTCCAGAAAGTTCCATGCACAATTTCCCTCGCCCAACCCCTCGCATTTGGAACCAGAATATTCATAAAAGGACGTTTGAAACTCTTACCTCATTCGTAAGTTTAGACTCTCAAAATTTGTTCTAAGGAATTCAGTAGTGAAGTGGTCAATCGGTTGAAGATGTTTTGTACGAAAAAGGTAAATAGTGAAATTCATCTAGAATTCATGTAGAATGCTTATAATCACACTTGAATTATTTACAAATTTTCCTACAATTTTTTCAAATTTCCTTTTCAAGTTATTAACCATTAAAGTCGCTTCTCATATATGGGCTCTTATGCAGATTTTTCTGTTTAACATGAAACTATATTATCAGTTTAGATGATAATGCAGTTTCGTGCTAAATAGAAAATTCTCCATAAGAAGCTATGTATAAAAAGCATCTTCAATTGTTAATAACTTGAAAAGGAAACCTAAAAAAATTCTAGAAAAATTCGTAAATAATTCAATTGGGATTATAAAAATTCTATATGAATTTGAGTTTTGAAGCTTTCGCGGCCAATATTATTATTCAGCCATCATAATGAATAATTCTATATGAATTCCCAATGAATGTCATTATTTACCTTTTTCGCACGAAACACCTTAAGTCGACTTAGCTTCCAGATGAATGTTTGTTAAATAACTCGGAATTTAAGAAAGATAGCGAAATATTTGTAAGATATTTTTCGATAGTCTTTACTCTTCTTTACAAAAAAGATTTCTAGGAAAATTTTGCTAACTCCTTTAAAATTTGAGATATTCATCGAGAAGTGGCGCTAGAATGGAATTGACTTAGACCATTTGGCCACTTCACTACTGAATTAATTTACTTAATTGCTAGGAATGTTTAGAGCGAATTTTCAATGAAAAATATTCAACTTTGTAAATACTTTGTCTTATTATCATTCTTCATTAATTTTTTTTCCACTCACATTACGGTAGGTTTTACGTGAACCTTCAAAGAAGTCAATTAATCTACCCCCATCCGGAGATTGCCTTGCATTTAAATCCTAGATTTCTGTTCGGAAATCGTCCGTCCTGTGTCGTGATGAATTGTTGGACTAATGGCGCTTGGAGTGCAGAGGAAAGACACGAGGGACAATTATCCTGGGGTCCTGGCCGTGACTTTCTCCTGACGTAAGTTGAAAAAACCCTGGTGAAATGATGGACAAGACAGTTCTATTTTTTTCGAATATGCAATTCAAGGAATTCTCTCGAAAGAAGAATTTTTGTTTGAAACTACTCATTTCAAACAAAAGATAATTGATAATTTCATTGAAGGTTGAATATTCGAAAAAAATATTCGTAAAATGAACGACCGGACATCCGAGTGCAGCTGTGTTTAGCGCGGTTAGTATTTGAGTACTAACGTGAGTACTTGGGTGACCGCTTAGGAACACCCTCGCCCAAAAATTTCGGAAGGTAGGCACGGTGCAGTGGCCTAATGTGCCCCTCTAGTCAGTGTGACAGAAGGGCACATTAGGGCTCTGCACAATCGGCCGGCTGTACGACTGGGGTTTTCCATGGTTAAGAGTAAGACGGCCCATGGTAATGCAGAAAAAATCAGAAGAGAGAAGTGGGAGAGGCAAGGCAGACGAATGCGGAGCCTATAACACCGTAATGGTAGTAGGAAAGAAATATGAATAAAAAGATAATAATAATATTCATAAAATGTTATATTCATTAAACAATTATACAATTATTGTCAACAACAATAATCATAATTGTTAATTATTTTTTAAACAAATATCGTTATTCAATTTTGGAGAAACTTAGTTTTTTGGTTAAATTTTATTCAATTCCTATTGGAATTCAATAGAAATACCATCCGAAAATCGATTTAATATTTTTTTATTTCTATTCAAAACTTCCCAACCTTTCCACCTGTTTTTTCAACAGATTTTTTATTGATAAGTCACTAGATCTAGATCTTTCTATTCTTTGGCACAATTTTTTCAAGTATTTTCGACTGTATTTTTTCTTCTTTTCATTACAAGAACCAAGGAAAGGTATTTGGAAAATTGATGCTCAAGGATTCTCTCGGGAAAATGTCAATAAAATCAGTTGTCTAGAAAAACCAACATCTATTGATTTTTTCGAATTGAATATGTGCGAAGAAATTGTACGGCGAGTTACATATGGTTTCAACTGAAATTGGCATTAAAAAAAAATTAAAGTCTACTAGACTTTCAATTAAATTTCTATAGAATTCTTATAAAAAACCTGTTAAATTTTCTGATGAATCGGTTTTCAAAAAATAATGAATTTTTCCATGCGTGAGATGATCGTTTTCTGGGGAAAATGTCAGATGTTTCTCTTGAAATCTCTTAGAAATTGTTTTTCAGAATAAATTTTCTTCAAAACCAAGAAAAAAAATCTATCTATTATTTCCTTTGAAAGTATCTACAATTCGAAATAGTCTTGCAGCCAATGGAATTCTCCACAAAAAATATTTTCCGAATGCCTCTCCCCGAATCTTTTTCGAATAATCCAGACTTTTCTTGTCCATTCTCCCAAAAAATACAAAAAATCCCAAAAATGATAAATTTTTCTTGATTTTCTTCAAGGATTCGTTGTGAATACGAAGGCTACAACATCTGGCTGGACAACAAGATGATCGGTATATTCCAGCATCGACTGGAGCCCACAATAGTCGACACCCTTCACATAAGTGGTGACGTGGTCATCTACCAAATAGTCCTGAACAGTGACGACTGAAAAAATCACGTGAACTCATTCGCAAAGAGTGAAAAACATCCTCCAAAGAGTGAGTCAACAATCGATACATTTCTCGAGCTAATTAGCTTCCCCTCAAGTCAAGTTCATGTTCAAGTACTTCTATCTCCAGCCGCGTCTGGAGTTTTTTTTTAAATGTATATTTTTATTTACTCTGAGTGCTCGAGAAATGCCAATCATGTTGGCTCATTCTTCATTCCCTCGATGAAATGCATAAAATCGAAACAAAAGTTGATTGATAATTCAAAAAAATGACGCAAAACAGGTAATTTTGTAAAGATATACTCTATATTATCAATTCTATTAATTGTATTTGACATGTTTTACAATTTATAGCTTCTCGGTAGATAAATCATGAAATAAAAAATATTGAGTATCTAAGACATGCAGGTGATGCCCATCACTGAAAACACAAAACAGAAAATTAGGAATGAAATTCTGTCTATAGCTGTTGCAGCTAGAGTCCACTCGAGTTGAGATGTTCTCGAAGATGAGGCGATCATATTTTCCTTGTCCTCGTTGTCCGGCTCGTTTGATAGTGGGGTTGAGGGGTAGAGGGATGACTCACTGAAGCATGTGCCCCTGCGGTCTTCGTCGGCACCTGGTCGCTGCGAGTGTAGCTGTGGATAATGTTTCTCCTTCATTTAGAGAATTGATGAGGCGATGAAGGCAGTGGTCCTCACCACATTTTCACACGCACAAAGATATTTAATAGAAAAATCAAGTGAATTCGCTAGCAGACATCGGCATAATCGAAATTTTGAATTACAGTTAAATTTTGAATAAGTCAATGAATAAGTAATATTACTCACCAATTTTTTCATTATAACAATAACCCCCAATTTAAATTTTCAAATTCCGAATCGTTTTATCAATCATCCACTTAAAGATTCAAATTCCGAATTATTTTATCAACCAATAATTGAGAAATTGAGCTACCAATTATTATATTAGTTTACAAATTTCAATTATGATAAATAAATCTAAATTACCGTAAGATGCAACTTCCCATAATATTACTAAAGTAATGATTGATGTCGATCTGTGTTCGCTAGACAATTCTATTGGATTTCTACTGAATTTTCTTTCAGTTTTTGGCCGGTTCTATTGCAATGTTCGATAGAAAATATTCTATAGATAATATCAATGGAATTTTATTTTTTTATACAACTCATTCCATTTTTTTAATCTTTCAATTGTCTTGCCTTACGAGATTGTTAATAAAAATGATAATGATAACTATGATGAAGATATGTGATGACAGCTATGGGACTGTTATATATATGAAAACAAAACAAAAATGAAACTAATATTGCAAATAACAAATATAAATAATATATTAATAATGATAGTAGTAATGAATAATAATGATAAAAAGTTCATCGTTGATAATTTTTCACATGAATTTTAAGTTTGATGAGTGTAAGAAATTGATTCATCACCACTTCGGTAAACCGGTTTAAGTCGACTTATTTCTTAGTTGAGTTTTTGAAGAATATCTCCGAATCTCAAGGAGATAACGAAATTTTCGTAATAACCTTTTTTCTAGAGCAAATTGAGTGCTACAAAAAAGGTCCTAACAAAAATTCAGCTATCTCCCTTAGATTCCGAAATATTCACTGAAAAATGGCCAATAGTGAAAATCGACTTGAACCGTTTTCCCACTTCGCTACTGAATTCTTTCTTCAATCATTTTTTTAAAGGAATCTCTCGTTTGACTAGGGTGTTTCGATCAGTGGCAACCCCGTGTACAATCGAAAATATTTCCTTCTCCATGACATGGTCATGGACAACATTCAAAATCGTTTTGTGAAGATTTTTGTGAAGATATTTTTTACGTACAAGTTGAATAAGATCGCAAAGCCCCAGGTATTTTCCAATCTGTCCCATGAGGATTTTCTTAACAATTCGAGGGAGGGGTCGACAGTAGGGTCTTCCAGACAAAACTAATACTGCAACCGAAATCACCGAGGATATCGTCACCTGGTGGAGGCAGCCTGCGTAGAAGCTCACTGAAAGAAATTCATTCATCGTCAGGAAATGTGGCCGCTTCATTCAACCGCGTTTATAAGGAGCAATTAGAACTAGAATTTTTCCTTGTTGTTGTTGTGTACACGAGGTTCTCGATATTTTGCATCTCGTTTTTCAATATATTAAATAATATGTTGAAAAATGTTCATTCAATTCAATGCTTTTGCGGACCCCACCATAATACCCTTAAATAGGAGTTGCGGAGACTAAAACGTGAATTAAGGATGTTTAGCCAGTGTCGGTAAATTGTCGGTAAATGTGTTTTTTTATGGTCAAGGAAAATTCAGTAATTTTTTCGACTGGCAGCAGAACATATAAAACTAACTTTTCTAGCGTTAAAAAGAATTGATCGCAATAGTCGCGGCAGAAATGAATAAACTACTTTTTCCTTATACATGGGCTCTTATGAAATTTAAGTTTAAATTGATAATTAACCTACTAGAAGACTCTAAAAATAGGAATAAAAATAGAAGATAATGTGTAAAATCATACTGAATCCAATGGCCAGAGAAAAATCTGGGGTACCCGGGCAAAAAGAGAAAATATTTTAATGATTCTATCCCATATAAGCGCATGTTAGCGCATGCAATTGGTGCATTGTGTCTATTTCATTTCTAAATAATGAACATGGGTTGGTGGATTGAAATTTGTATCAATGTGAAGGGAATATCTTCATCTCTCAGTTGAACAAAAATCAATTTTTTTAAGTACTTGCGATTTTGGATAAACATCCTTCAATATCTCAGAAACTAGAATCGACAAAGTGGGCTCTTTTCACGTGGACCTCCACAAATACCGAATGCTAAATTTTTGAGTTGATGAAAAAATTGTTTTATTCACCTATCAGAGGGGTTCTCGGTGACGATGGTATAAAATGTGTGAAATACAAGAGAAATAAGGAGATTATGAGAGCCAGAAGGCTGCAGAGAATCAGTCGCTCTCGGCTCTGCGGTGACAGCCAGAATATTGCCAAATTCATGAAGACAATAACTACAGAAGAAATCGTTAAAGACAAACGTTAGTTCATTCCAAATAATTCAATTTTTTTTGCAGTGAAACAAAAATGACTTTAATTTTATTTTAAGCAAAGATGCAATTATCAATTCACCAGATTTTTCTTAGAAAGTACACGTATGAAAAAATTCAATAGAAAACCTAGCGAATTCGCTAGAAAATTCTATTGGAATTCTACTATAGGAATTCTATGGGGTTTCTATAGGATTTCTATTGTAATTCTACTGAAAAATCCTATTTGTTCGTTGCGCTGATTCTATTAGATATTCGATAAGAGAAAGTCAATGGATTTAGAATTTCGGTTCGAATTTTTCTCTGAGCTTTTTCTATTAGAAATTATTGGGCAAATTTCCAATTATTGGACAAATTTGCCAAGTTTTTTTCACTGAATTTTGTTTTATTTTGTATTGTAGAATGCGAGTGGAAAAAACTTGGAAAATTGATGCCCAAGCATTCTTGAAGAAGAAATCTCAAGAGAAAATTTCAAACAGAAATTCGAAATCTATTGACTTTTTCTTATCGAATATCCAATAGAATTAGCGCAAAAAACAAATAGAATTTTCCAATAGAATTTTTTCATACGCGTAATGCAAGTGTATTACATACAAACAGTGGGCGTGCCGAAAACACTCGCATAAAGTGTCGAATTCCTCTTCAAGGTGAAATTGAACCGAAGACGAATAGAAGGTTCATCAACGCAGCACTCGTAGGTCGTGACTTTCCGCAGTTTCGTCACTCCGATGAGTTTCCACTCGCTATTCTGAATCAAGTTGATCTAAAAATCCAGGCAAACTTTCTCTAACTGGACTATTTCAACAGAATAGGTTTATGGAAAGATGAAAATATGTTGATTATCACTAAACAATATTTTCTATTTAATATTTCTATCTAAAGGGCGCGCAGAAAATCTCCGGTATTTTTCAATAGAATTGATTGAATATCTCAAAGAATTCTACAAGAAATCCAATGAGTTTTCATATCGACTGTTTGAAATTTTTCATTTCATAAATTTTCGTCGAGTTATAGTTAGACTGAAATTTCAAGGAATTCCGTCATTCTAAAGGCACACTGTGATGACAAAATCAATGGAAACTGTAAATTTTAGTTCAGGTAGGGGAGAGTGGGGTAAAATGAAACAGCCGAAAAACGACTATTTGATGCAATTCAAGCAAAAAAATTTTTTTTTTCATTAACTTTTGTTTATTAATTTTTCTTATTTTATAGTAATAATAATGATTTATTCCCAACCATATGGCTTAGGGCCTTTTACTGTTTGTAATACATTTTCCTCGTCAAAGACACGTTATAAGGAAAATACATTGACCGACAATTCATGGTCCCCGTGTGTAATGAGCAAAACCAGTAAGAATAAAAACAGCAATAATATTCTATGTACTAAAAATATTCAGCAATGTGGTTAATCATTGATATGACGCTCTGTCTTCTCTTTGGCTTCGTTTCCCACGAGTCAGCCTTCTTCGGTGGAGGTTCCTGCGTCTTTTATTTTATTATATTATTATTATTGGGACTACTGATCTACTGATGAGAATAATCATTTTCTTTTCAATTAATCCATTGACAAAATCGTCTCCCGTCAAAACTTCTCAATAATTTTCCATTCTGCTGAAAATTATTATTCTCATCAGTACTCCCAAGAATGAAAAAAGTTAATAAACAAAAGTTGATGAAAAAAATTTTTATAAAAAAAATTGTTTTGGTTGAATTGCGTTAAACAGTCGTTTTGTCATTTCATGTTGCCCCACTCTCCCCTAGTGAAGGTTCATGTGGGAATTTTGTCACCTAAATAATAAATCACCTCAGCTGCACTTTCATGAATCGGAAACTTCAACTCTATCTGACTGCCCGAGTACGCCCAGGAGGCGAGTTCGATACTGCAGGTTTGAGTATCGTACGGCCAGAAGTGAAAATCAAGATCACAGATTGCGAGAAATTGTGTTGGTGGTGTGCATATGACCAATCCCGTCTGGTGAATGTGACAGGGTGCATCACTGAAAGGTTCGATCGATGAAGCTCCTGCGCTGTAAAAATTCGAGGAGACTCATCGATGAATAGTAAATGAATTTTCCGTTATTCCGGCGGTAAGGAAGCGCTTTACGAACGCCATGCGTTTGTAAATTGCTGTCTACGCTCGTTATGACAAAATAGTATATTTCGATACGAGTGAGACAGAATTTTCACGAGTGTGAAGTTGGCGACCCGAGGCGAAACCGAGGGCTGCCAATCACTCGAGCTGAAAATTCCTGTCTCACATATGTCCAACAATAGTTTTTGACAGTGATGTTACGTTCAGCGAGTCGCGAACTGTGCCTTTTTTCGTTTACTAGTAAACGAAAAGACTTTTCGTTTACGAGTAAACGAAAAGGCACTTTTCGACACGAGGTGAACGTAACAGCAGTGTCAAAATAGTATATTTCAGTACATGTGGGGCAATATCGTCTTTAACGTGTGTGGGGTTTACAGCATGAGCCGAAGGCGAGTGATGTAACCACACACGTTAAGGACGAAATTTCCCAACAAGTACTGAACAAAATTTTATGTCACGAAGCCTGAAACCGGCTGAATTAGTGGACGAGACGCGAAGCGTCGAGTGTGCAATCCAGCCGGTTTCAGGCATGAGTGGCATAAAATATCATTCGACATACAGCCTAAAAAAACTTTTTCCGTACTGACCTTCACTTTTCCTCGTCCGAGGATTGGTATTGGCCCTTCTCCAAACTTGTAAAAGTGAAAAACACTACGGAAAACTATCGCTCATGACTAGTCCCATGGGGTTTTTTTATTCGCGTGGTTGGTCAGTTCTCGCCTTCGGCTCGGGCTGCAAACTCATATTCGCCAGAAAAGTTTTTTTCAGCCTAGGGGAGAGTGTGCCTGTACCGCTCAGCGGGTAATACCGCTCACCCGATTTTCTCCACAACCATCAACTTGAAAATTTCTTTCTGTTCCTGATCATGAAGAATTTGATGATAGGATGTGATTGTCGGAAAAATTTCACTTTATTTACCACTTTAAATATGAAAAAGCACGTAACGAAGTTTTGAGGTCTTTACAGTGCAAAATTTGTGGACTTTTAATTAAGGTTTTTGATGGTTTCAAACGCTGAATTCTCATATTAAACTGTGGTTATTCGATTCGTGGTACTTTCGTGCGTAATTTGAGACCAATTCGAACTCAAATTTCACTTATGTCAATAATTATCAACAATTTTGTTGACGCCGAGCGGAGCCGGTAATACCGCTCATAGGATCGGCCACGTAGTTGCTCGACAGCACTCGAGTACAGGTTAGGTTGCGGCGCGAGCGATACACGCAAAACCCTATGAGCGGCATTGGAATCGTGCCGAGCGGTATTACCCGACGGTGGGTAGTACCGCTCAATAGGCTCTCTCTTTTATTTTCAATCAATTTTGTGGATTCTAAGGAGAATTAGGCGTCTGCACTTCGAGAATAACGAATTCAATAGTTAAAGAAGTCTCACAAATACGTTTTTTACACTCAAGTTGAAATATAAAATATAAAACTGGCATTTCCCCTTAGGTGGGCGGTACAGGCACACTCTGCCCTAATGACGAAACATACTATTTCTGTACTGCTTCTCACGATTTCTCATCTGAGAATTAGTATTGCATACTTCCCAAACTCGAAAATTTGAAAATCACAACAAAAAAATTTTTTACTCGTATGGTTGACCAGTTCTCGCCTTCGGCTCGGACGCCAATGCCACACGAGTAAAAAAAAAACATCGCAGCAGCCCGGAAAAATAATATTTCTGTACTGTTTCTCACGTTTTCTCGTCTGAGAATTGGTATTACATACTTCCCAAACTCGAAAACTTGAAAATCACTACAGAAAAATATTGTTCCTGGGCTATTGCGATGGGGTTTTTTTTACTCGTGTGGTTGGCCAGTCCTCGCCTACGGCTCGGACGCCAACGCCACACGAGTAAAAACCCCATCGCAGCAGCCCGGAAAAATTATATTTGTCGTGACAAAGAATATTATTCGTTATCCCGGGGACGAAAAGATGAACGGGCCAAGATTGGGCCAGTACTGGGAGCCGAGCTGCCGAGTCTTGGATGCCGATTCTCAATTGCGCATGGTCCAGCCCGGCTAGCTATTGGTTTGATATCGGTGGACGGATATTGGTTGCCAAGCGTCGACCGATGATCGGCACCCAATACTCATTTTCAATAGTTGAACAAATTAATTAACCCTCGATCACTGGCTCAATGAGCGCCCCACATGGAAAAAATATATATACAGAAATATATGTCACTTATATCCGCTTATATTCCACCCAGAAAAATTTATATTTTGAAAAATATATTTAAAAAATGTCTTAAATTGGCCCAATTTATATTAAAAAAATATATCAAATATAACATATTTTTTATATATTTGTTTATTTCTATATTTTTTTATATATTCTTTATAAATTTGAAAAATATATGGAATTGGCCCATATTATGTTTTTTGCATATTTTTTTAAGGGGATGTGGTATACTTTCCGGCAAAAAATGCAATATCTAAGATACATCTAATATATACCTGGTATACAAAGCGGATATATTCAAGATATATTATTCACATTTCCCAAACCTGTTTAAGAGTGTTATGTCTGGCTGCCAAACCTCGTGATTACCCACTTGAAGGTGATTCAGCTCTCCATAATTCGAGGCGTTCCATTTTAGTTTATCGTCGGTCCATATCTATCGGATGTCAATTCATGTGAATTTATGAAGGGAGTAGCCATCGAACGACTGTTGGGTAATTTTTCGATCTGGATATTGAGGAATTTTAGGGGAATATTCATAGATAGTTACCATTTTGACGTAGGCCCGTACATCCACTGCAGATTTTAACTCATTCTGATCAATAATAAATTGACGGAATAATTAATGAAAATCACCATTTCAATTGACTTAAATATAAATTTGGAATGAAGGATGCAGCAGCATTGGATAACTCCTAGAATTTATACAGTTTATCCCGGAAATATTTATTTGAGGACCTCCAGCAGAATCTAACTTTTCTTACGAATTTCATTTGAATTTCATTTGGATTTTTGAGCATTTGTATCTTTGTAGTTTATATTCGACCGAAAATGAACCCAAAAATTTTATCTGACTTTCTCAATTGTTTTGCTCTACTAGATTGTATTGAATCCAGAAAATGTCTAATAATTGGTGATTTTAATGGTCCTGATTATGTTCTTAATAGTTCGTTAAATTGCGGCCAGAATGTTGCCAGTTGAGATTGTCTGAGTTTAATTCTGTCAAAAACTCATTGGATCGGTTACTTGATGTTGTACTGTGTAATTCTTATTGTTGTGTAGATAAGGTCAGTTGTCCTCTTTTAAAGGAGACTAGTTATCATTTTGCCTTGATTATTAATGGTGCCAAGTGAATTTGGCGATGACCTTGAAAATTGATATTCACCAACAAANTCTCGAGGTTCGTCACGCGAAATACAGGATTTTCCGCATTTATTTTCTCGATGTCTAGTTCCGGTTGCGGGTTTGAAATTTCGTCGGATGGATGAATACATATTTCTCCAATGATGGAGGGAAAGAAAAAAATTTTTTTGAATCTTTTTTCAAATTCACATGGCACCCTTAAGGTTTGTTTTGGGGCCAAACACAATAATTTTAGACATTGCAAAAATAGAGATGATGGACTCAAATTAGGACGAAAAAATTATAATTTCAACAAAGTTGACCATAATGTACTCTCGCAAGAATTATCAAAAATTGATTGGTCAGAAATGTATAATATTAATGATGTTGATACTTTGTGTGATTTATTTTATGAAAAAATTTCTGATGTATTTGACTTCATATTCTCTATTCTATTCTGATGTCATCACTATTTATAGACTATTCTTGATGTCTCGCCATCGACTTATGGAATTTTTTTTACAAATAGTTAATTTTTCATTACTGTCTTATTTTGAGTATGCATTATTTGATCCTGTAATTGGCCTGTGCTGTTGGATCTTTATGAAATAAAAATGAAAAATAAAATGAAAATGAATTACTTTTTGAAATTCAGCTTCTACACATCTAATTTGGTTATTATTTTAATAAAAAAATGACACCCTTCGTGTAAAATAGCTCGAAAAATATTTCTGGAAGAATCGAGAATATATTTTAAATACTTCAAGGATAATTTTTCTCCCCTTTTTACATGAATGGCACAAATTTTTACATTAAACAAAACGAAGTTAGTTATTTAGGAGTTGAATTTAAAAAAAACTAATTCGTAATTGTTATTGTACACATTTTTTCAAAAATTCGGTAGCTCAAAAATTGGAGGCCCTGGACTATTTTTAACCTTTTCAGCGTCTGTGGAGCAAACGAAGAATAAACAATTAATTTTGTTGCACTAATTATTCGTTTGTAGACGTATATAATCGATTTTCAATGCATGAGAAATCTCACTCCAATATCCCACGACTTTTAAAACTCATAGTAGTCTCCCCTTAATGGAAAAGGAATCAGATTTCAGTTTTCATTAAAATAAATAAATAAATAAATAAATGAAATGGACATTAAATTGAGAAAAAAAATACAATTTGAATCCAATCGAGTTTCCTAAAAATTTCTTGCAGTTTATAATAAATTTTTAAATCAAGCTGTGTTCGTACTACTTCAAATGGTTGAAAATATTTCTATCACTTACTATAGAAATATGATAAACTTTCATTCCAAACTGAACTGTCGTGACATTATAGTGTTGTGTTGGCCTAGCGTACTTGTCATAATGAAGAAATAGATCACGCTTCAGCTGATCTGTCCACGTAGCATTCCAAATGGGTTTCCCTATTGAATGAAGCACGAGAAATATGAGCATCGAATGAAATATAACCCAATGTAATGAGAAATGTCTCTCTTTTTCTTCAGAAATTATGCAAAATACCAAAAATTTAAGTGGTCACGGCAGTAATTGTTTATAGCATCATAACTCAACGAATATCAGTCACTTATAATTACTGTTGTGAACTTTTTCATGTTCCAAGGAAATTGTATGTGTTTATTGGACAAAGATATGCACTACTCAATAACATTCACTTGATAAAAACGGAGCGTCGTGTCTACCCGAAAGACAAATGTCTCATGAGAACGATTACTACTACAAAAATTATCACATTTTGGTAGAAACTTTTTTTGTCCACAAGTAATTTGATTCAACACGACAAAAGATCTCTTCAGGAAAATATAATTTTTCAGCAGAACTAATTGTTCTCTCAGTCAAGTTGTTTAAAATTTTGAACGATGAATAATCAACAGGGCTTGTTGGATTAAATTTTTTATCAATACGAAGGAGATAACTCTGTCTACCCATTGAAGAAAAATCAAAATGTTTTCAAGTGCCTGCATTTTTCGCTAAACATCCTTAAGGGGAGACTCCTGTGAGTTTTAAAAGTCGTGGGTTATTGGAGTGAGACTTTTCATACGTTGAAGATGGATTATATAGATCTAAAAACGAATAATGAGTGCAAAAAAAAATTTTTTTTATTGTTCGTTTGCCCGAAAACGCTTAAAATGCCAAAAACAGTCCAGGGCCTCCAATTTTTGCGCTACGAATGATTTTTTGTTTTCAAAATTTTCGGAAAAATATGTGGAATAACAATTACGAGCTATTTTTTTAAAATTCACGTCTTACATGGCTAAATTTGCTATTTTGTATTTTTTTACACAAATAGTGAATTTTTTTATATGAAAAAAACGAAATCAGCTGTGTAGGAGTCGAATTCCAAAAAACCAGCTCATAATTGTTGTTCCACACATTTTTCCGAAAATTTTGAAAAAAAAATCTTTTGTAGCTCAAAAATTGGAGGCCCTGAGCTGTTTTTAACATTTTAAGCCTTTTCGGGCAAACGAACAGTAAAAAATTTTTTTTCGCACTAATTACTCGGTTTCAGATCTATCAATCGATCTTCAACGTATGAAGTCTCACTCCAATAACCCACGACTTTTAAAACTCACAGGAGACTCCCCTTAACTTCAAAAGAAAACATTTTTCTAGTCAACATTTTTCTTAGTTAGAAAATAATTTTTTTTTGATATTTTCATCTGGCATCGCTCGTTGAATTAACGAGAATGTCAAATTTGACTCATTACGTTTTACCACTGAATTAGTAGACTAGTGAACGAGTAAGTGGATAAACGCAGTAATAGGCAGGCATTGCTGGGTGAGAATGGCCGCTCCTAGACACTTTCAATGCACGGAGAGAAAAATTCAATGAAAATTACCACAAAAAAAAACTTAAAAATTACGTTTCGAAATGTAATCCGCAAGCGAAGTAAAATTCAATAAAAAGTGTGAGTCGAAACTGAAATTGTACGAATCGCCACGTAAATTCTACGATGTGTTCCGTAAAAATTAACCACCCGTCTGATGACTCACCGCTGTGGGGACAAAAAGTCGTTCCGTAATTTTTCCCCAACGATTGAGAAATTTTACAGAACGGAACATAGAAATCAGGAGTGAAGTGGTAAACGGAGATAAGGCGACTCATGTCCCAGTTGAGTTTTTGAGGAATATTTCCAAATCTAAGAGAGATAGCGAAATTTTCGTGATTACATTTGTTGTAGCACTCAATCGACTCCACAAAGAAGGTTATAACAAAAATTTTGTTATCTCCCTTAGATTCCGAGATATTGATTGAAAACTGTTGAATAGTCAAAAGTGACTTATCTCCTTTTACCACTTCGCTACTGAAATAACTCACCAACTTCATAAAAATTGTTGAACGTTCAAGAATTTTTTATTTTGGAGGCATAATAAATCGGCAAGTTTTCGTAAGATTTTACTTCTTCGGGAAAAATTACGTGACAATTTCGTACTTTGTTCGGTGATGAACCTGAGAATTCACTGAACGTTTCAGATTTCTTCTCTTCCATTCCTATAAAACTTGCCAAAAAACGATTCCCTATTACGGATTACGTGAATTGTTCGGTAACTTTCACTGAATATTTCTCTCCGTGAGGTAGAGATTGATCTGAATCTGACTATTCAGTCAGTCGATTGACTCATTTGATCGATCTCAAGATCATCTGTTCTTCCCAATTTTCATCACTTCCGAAATATATGTAACACTGTCGACCCGGATTATTGATCATCACACACTTCAATTAATTCCAAACATTTATCGTGACCCAAACTATTCGAAAAACGTGGAAGGAAAACTTTCGCAGATGAACTGATTTTTTTGACTTACCAGCAGCTCCAACACTCTCAATTCCCCTGATAAAAAAATAAACAAATCCTAAGAGTGCACACGCATTCTCGAGCACTCGACAATACATCTCGCTCACGTTATTGCCAGCACTGCACCAGCTAGTACCTTCATAAAATCAAGTGATCATGATCATGACTACGATGGTGATGATTGTAGTTTGTAGTATTTGTGGTCGACGGGGGAGGTAGTTGACAATAATTTGTAGTGGCAATCATGTTGGAAAAGAATTCAATTGATGATATTCTTTATGGAATCAGTAGCAAGGACAGTAATCTTTGTGTTTGTTGTGATAGTCAGGACTTGGTCCAGTGGAAGAGCATTTCAGAGGGATTTGTCAAACGTTTTCAAGCATTTTTTTCGTCTCACAGTGGCAAAAAGTATCGGTTTACGGACTCTGGGGCCCATAAACTCGTTTTATTGCGCTAGCCGATGAAAACATCATCTCTCTATATAATAAAAAAATAAGGAGGTTAAAAAATTCAGGAGACGCGCCTGATTTGGGCCCATAATTGAAACCTAATTAGGCTCGCTTGGGAATGACTCGATTGGAGAATGCCCAATTTGAAAAAATAAATGCTTCTCTCGAGTAAATGAATATTTGGCAAAAATATTTTTTTTTCTGTGTACACCATCAGCTCAAAAAAGAAAATTACGAATCAAATTTTCCCCGTAAAAATTACGGAACGCTCTGGAAAAATTCCGTGACAGTTCCGTAAAATTTCCTACAACCACATTTCACTCCGGAATTACGGAAAAGATATGTAATTTCAATTGAATATTTCTCTCCGTGCAATAAAATATTGCACCGCTCTTCATTATAAGCACTTAAATTTGGGAGCTCGAGACAGCAGATAAACAATAAAAATAACAGGCACAAACATTTTTGTTAAAGCAATAAATTGTTTCAAAATTCCCTCGCCTCAGAAAATGCAGTTATGGATGTTTCAACAAACATGGGATACACTTGAATTCCATCGAATTATTTTCTATAATATCAGATTGGAAACTGTGGAGATATTTTCTCAGCAAGCGTTAAAGAACACCCAATTACCATTTCGTTAATGCAATCAAATTTTCGTTTAATATTATTGTTGAAGAATAAATAATCAAATTGTCGAAAGTTTGCGAGCTCGGGACCAACTGTGCAAGCAAGTCTTTCTTATTTCTTTCGTAATTGACGTGGACTGGCACAGAGTCGTCAACCGAATAACTTGCACTTGTAACACGCTCCAAGAACAATACAGTGAGAATAAATATCAATCATTCATCTTGACGATGCTGAGTATAAAAAGACTGTAATAATGCGGATTAAGGCCCGAATATTAGTTCCATCGGAGTGTCATGAATTCCATTGGAGATCCCTGAGATCAAGATGAAGACCGTACTCCTAGCAGTACAAATTTTATACTTCTCGAGGTAAATAACTACAACTTGATCATCAATAATTGAATATAGTTTATGTCTTTAATTCAGTAGCGAAATGGTGAAACGGTTCAAGTCGATTTTGACTATTGGCCAGTTTTCAATGAATATCTGGGCATCTAAGGAAGATAGCAAAATTTTTGTTGTAACGTTTTTTTGTAGCGCCGATTGAGAGGTATAACAAATGTGGTTACGAAAATTTTTCTATCTCCCTTAGATTCGGAAATATTCTTTAAAAACTCAACTGGGAGATAAGGCGACTTATTAAACCGTTTTACCACTTCGCTACTGAATTATTGCATTAGTGTTGTCACTTTGTTCAACACGGAAATTTTCACTATTCCGTATCCACTGAGACTGAGACACTTCGTGATCTTTCGCGGCAGCACTAATTTCGGTGTAAATACAAGACATCCGCGGTCGCATATCGAAACCAGAGATAATCTTTTGAATATTTAAATAAAAACTGAAGGATGATATCAACTTGAGACTTTCAAAAATTTCAATTTCAGATCATATGTCTCAGAATAAAGCTCGTTTATTTTGGGTGTATTTAGAAATATCAATTTTTTAAGCGTCAAACAGGAGAGGCAAGAATTCACCGAATGACGAAAATCAGAAGTGAGAATCTATTCAGTTGAAATATTATGCTCATACAGTGGACTCCCCACTGATTCTCAGAGCCCGGGGGGTGTTCTTTTGAGAAGCAGGCCTCGAGGGGGATAGGGTGCGAATTATGGAATGGGAGAATAAAGAAGAGTCCACTGTACACCGATAGACTGATTCATTTATTCCAAACGAGATTCGTCAACTATTAACGAATGGTAGAGTTGAATATGACCAAATGAATATTTGTTATAATAGTTAACGAATGGTTCACTTGAAAGGTGAAAATCGAGTCAAATAAGCCTTCTCAAATGTGCATTTGTTAACTATTAACGAATGAACATTCGGTGAGACCGAATAGACTTTCGTCTCCAACCAAATCCATTCGTTAACAATAACTAATCCTTTCTATCAGTGCATTAGGGTGTCATTTGACGGTCATACGGCGTTCCTCTACATTTTTGTACACCTCTATTTCAGCCAAGTTTCCGCAGTAGATCCGAATTTACCCGAAATTCCGGAAAATTTTCTAGTCGGGGCTGGATCATCTGCGTATCAAGTTGAAGGTGCATGGAATGTCAGTGATAAAGGTGAAGGAATGTGGGATCGATGGACACATAACAATGCATCCTACTTCGGCAGTGGAGGTAATGGAGATATAGCGGCTGACTCTTATCACAAGTATAAAGAAGATGTACAATTATTGAAAAGCATGAAGGTGAGTGTTACTGACGCTGCATTTTTTTAAAACTAGCACCCCCTCCCCTGTGGTGATTGTGGTGGTTGGGAGAGACTTCAATCACTAACATAAATGAAGTAAATAGACTCCAGAAGATATTGTTTATAATGTTTATTATATACGCGCCAAGAATGATTATGATTCGAAGTATATACAGAGTGAATATAATACAGTGTATTCGTCAATCGACAATACACAGTAGACGGATCGTGATATTCAGGATTACGAATACCGCACGAAAGGAAAAAGAAGAATACCTTATTTCAATGTATGTAGGAGAAATTAAGGATAATCGAGCGAGGAGTAGGATGCTCAAAAAATGCAGCCAATTTTATCAAGAGTTTTTCACACATTATGGAATCCATTTAGAGACCGTTTGCAAAATTTGAGAAACCCCAGAAGCAGGGTAACAACAACAATGATTTTTAAAGTTGATGCTTAATAATGAGGTTAAATGAATCATCGATAATTTCAGTATTTTTTCCATATTGCCGACTGGTCGATAATGTAGAGGAAATGCATGAGTTATCGATACTCCCTTTACGTGCACTGATAGAATGATTCATTTATTCCAAACGAGATTCGTTAACTATTAACGAATGAACATTTGGTGGGATCGAATAGACCCTAACCTCCAACCAAAATCCATTCGTTAACAATAACTAATCCATTCTATCAGTGTGTGAACATCCTCCTATCGTAAAAAGGAGAAAGGAAATCGATCATGATATATCTCGAAAATATTGAATCACTGTCACCGTAAGACTGAAACCGAAGCGCCATCTGCTATAGTTCGATGAACATTGAATTAAATCACATTTATCATATACCATTTTGAAGAGCATTCACTATTCATCAAAATGGCATATGATAAATACCATCTATTGAAGAATAGTGAATGCTCTTCAAAATGATATGTAGCTATCCCTGCCTAGTTCACTTAGAAGCATCGAAAAATCCAACCAAAGTTAATTTTCCAAGTGAAACATGATAATTCAATTTTCGCCGAAAACTCTCACAAGTTGATGAAAAATTGGCACAATTGCGCAAATCAGGTTTCATTTTAAAGCTAATTCAATAAGCTTCTGAGTACATTAAAGGTATGGTTCATGAAAAAGGAAGAAGAACTTGAGCGTAGAAATTAAACGAAAAACCTTGGTTACAGACACGAATTTTTCTATAATGATGATTTGGTGCAGATCCGCTATAATTTTTACTCTTGCAGTTGGATGTTTATCGTTTTTCGATAAGTTGGTCACGAGTTTTGCCAACCGGATCGCCGTATCGAGTCAGTAGAGATGGAATTCAGTATTACAAAAATCTTATCAATGAGTTACTGGCCAATGGAATTGTTCCATTTCCAACAATGTATCATTTTGATGATTTGCAATCGTTGATGGAGAAGACGGGCGGATGGGCTAATGAATCGATGGTCGAATATTTCGCTGATTATGCTAGAGTTCTGTTCAGAGAGCTCGGGCCCAAAGTAAAACACTGGACCACTATCAATGAGTTGAACATCTACTGCGGATATATTTTTTATCATAACGAGACTGATCCAGATTTAGGTAAACTACATGCCTCATTTCTGTCAGATATATAGATTAGATTAATCACAAATGATTGAATAAAAATACTTCTTGCTTATATCTGCACAAAACAGCCTTCTCAGCTCGTTATCGTTGTGTACATAATCAACTGAAAGCGCATGCACGTGCTTATCACATCTACAACGAGGAATTTCGTTCTACCCAAGGAGGTCAAGTTGGACTGGTCGTCCACAGCACTAATTATGTTCCAGTGGTTGCTGGTGATGTTGAAAGTAGCAAAATTGCATTTGACTTTGACACTGGATGGATAATGCATCCGATATTCTCGATGGAGGGAGGCTATCCGGAAGTCATGAAACAGAGAATTGCTGAGAATAGTAGAGCTGAGGGATTGTCCTCTTCAAGGTTACCAGAATTTTCTCCGGAGTGGACTGATTACATCAGGTGAGTTTGGGTCTGTCTATCCCTTGACAATATGCTGAGCAATACGTATTGAAAAATTCTATCAAAAAAATCTAGCGCACCCGTCAGCAAAATTCTAGTAGTTTTCTATTCAATTTAGGGACATCTTTTAAAGGAAAATTTCCAATAGAAAGTAAGTTTCGGAAAACATCAATTGGAGCTGGATCATTTTTTATTCAATTGACTAGGGGGCTACGCTCCCACTCGCTTCGCTAGCCAACCCCCATATAATCCACATGACCCTTATTTCGACCTACACAACCCTTATTTGAAACTTTATTGTGACTGTTAATCTGACCCTTGCGACCCTTAGTCTGACCCTCGTGACCCTTATTCTGACCCATACATCCCCATGTGAAACCTATGACCCTTACTTGGACCCTTATTCTGACCTTCGTGGTCCTTATTCTGACTCTTAAGATGACCCTTGCGACCCTTATTCAGACCGTCGTGACCCGTATTCTAACCAATACGGCCCGATATGAAACCTATGACCCTTACTTGGACCCTTATTCTGTCCTTTGTGACCCTTAATCTGACCCTCGGGAACCTTATTCTGACCCTTGCGACCTTTATTCTGAACTTCGTGGTCCTTATTTTGACCCTTGTGACTCTTAAGCTGACCCTTGCGACCCTTATTCTGACCCTCGTGAACCTTATTCTGACCCTGGTGACCCTTAGTTTCTAACCCTTGGTTTTTGACCTTTCATTTCTGAGCCATCATTTCTGAGCCTTAATTTTGGAGTCTTAATTTCGAGTACCCTATTTTCATCACCAGACGTCGATTTGGATTTTTATAATACAGAGAGATATTCGCTTAGCGTATTGGCCCATCAGTAATGAATATTCTTATTATGACATTATTCTCGATCATAACCGCAATCTAGAGGATCTTCTGACTACTTGGGTATCAATCATTTCGTAACTTCCGTGGTTGAGCGAGTTCCCAAAAGAAATGGGAGATGGTACGATGATTTAGGCCTCAGGAGAACCCAGTTGACTACCTCAGGCACTAGAGTGAGTAACTTGTTTTCAACATCTCATTTTCTAAACGAAAATTAATATGAATAGAAACATTCCGGTTGACTTTGTGTTCAAACTTGAAAAAATCTCAAAAAATCAAAAAAAATTCTATGCTAAATACGAAAATTGTTGTCGGTGTGAAACTTTTGCAATAAATAATTCATTTTTTAGTTTCATTCATTTTTATTGAACAATGTCATTTTTTGTTTGTACAGAGAAAAGTATTTTTTAGGAACTACTAAATCAATTTTCGGCATGAAAAAATCCTTTTTTGATAATTTTAAAGAAATAGTTTTTTTGGCACAAGTCTCAGTGTACTAAATTGAAGAATGAACTTGAGGATCAATTGCTTATACTCATCAAAGTTAGAATTCATGGGAAAAATGATCGATGGTGAATAATATTTTTTCGACTCTTCGAATGTATTTTTCCTCGATACACTCAAAGACACAACTGGAGTTTACTCGTACTTTAAACCTGGTGCTTCTTTTCCATTCACAGATATACCCTGAAGGTATCGGAGCAGTTCTCAGACAGATAAGAGATGAGTATTATAATCCACCAGTCTATATCTTGGAGAATGGAATGGCGGAGGGTGCAACATTCAATGACACCGACAGGATTTACCATTTGCATTTCTACATGAAGGAAGTGATGTCAGCTCTCAATGATGGCTGCGATATTCGGTCGTACGCGGTTTGGAGTCTGTTGGATAGCTTCGAGTGGGTCGCTGGATACACGTGAGTGGATGAACTCTCACAGTGAGAAGACAAGAGTTTTTTGAGAAGTACGTCATTAATTCATTAATTCAACGAAGTGGTAAAGCGGTTTAAGTCGACTCATCTCCCCGTTGAGTTTTTCAGGAATATTTTGGAATCTAAGGGAGATAGCGAAATTCTCGTAATTACATTTGTTGTAGCTCTCAGTCGGCTCTACAAAAAAGTTTATAACAAAAATTTTTCTATCTTCCTTAGATTCCGAGATATTCATTGAAAACTGGTCAATAGTAAAAATTGACTTATACCGTTCTACCACTTCGCTACTGAATTGTATCAAGAAATTCATGGCTCGAAAATTACCAAGCGTACAATATCTCACACTGAGAAAAACAAATCTGAAATCTTAACCATCTTATCCAAGAGATTTTATACTTATTCAAAAAATCTCCTTCCTTAGGCCATTATGCAGTCATCATTAGCAAAGTTAACAATTAATAAGCGAAGGAAATAAATATTCTCCTCGTCAGGGCGATTTAATTCCATCTATACAACAAAGATTCAATCAAAACCCATTTATATTGTACATCTAAAAAGCCACCAAACCCTTGTTATCTTCAATCTAAAACAACACACTGAGAACAAAAATTATTTATGCCAAATATTCATTTACTGCAGAGAAGCATTTATTTCTTCAAAATCGTATTTCACTAATCGAGTCGTTCCCAGGCGAGCCTGATTAGGTTTCAATTGTGACGATCATGTTGCTCTAGAGGATGACTATGTTGCACTTGAGCTTGGATTAACTCCTCCAATGATTATTCATTTTTCCTAAATTTCTTATTTTCTTGAGGGGATTTCGATTAATTTTTCAATGTTCATAATTATTGAGGGAGTTCAGTCGAGATCATAACTAATATGATCATCTTCTAGAGCAATACAATTATTATAATTGAAACCTAATGAGGATTGCCTGGGAATGCATCGGCTGGAAAAATAGGGTATTGAAAAAATAAATACTTCTCTCAAGTAAATGAATATTTGGCAAAAATATTTTTCTTCTTGGTGTACATACCTATTAGCACAGAAGAAGGGTTTTTAACCCTAGATTGGTCACCCTACGAGGGAAATTCCGCCGTGCGTCGTTCTTCTTTAATTGTCCATTGAAGTGTCTAAAAAATTATAGTAGTTTTTAGAACAACATATTTCCCAAAATTCCTAAAGAAAACAAATTATTTCGGACAGATGAATCATTTTTTCCCAGATTAAATGAAATTACCCATGACGCGACGTTACCGGAAACTTTTCTTTTATGATGTTTATTTATCAACTGATAAAAATTGTTGGATGAACGCGTTAAATAAACAGCTAAAAGAATACACCAAAATGTAAATCACGCAACAGAGTACGAATATTAGAACTTACATGGCTAGTGTTAAGAGTATCTCATAAGTCAAAATTGTTTTCCTGATTTTCGTGCATTATAGATCATTAGATTGATATGGCTAGCAGTTGAATGGTGGTGCCTTTTATTATCAAGGTTGTGGAGGACCTTTGGTACTATGACAGTGAAAAATGTTCAGTTTTCATGAAAAAACACTATAGACCGTTGCCGGAAACTCGCTAAATGCGTCCGGGGAGGGTAGAGTGAATTCGGTAACGCTAAAGCCTAAATAACACGGCGGCGAATTCTCAAATCCTCAAAGTTAAATAACTTTATATGAGCGATTAAAAATGTTAAAAAATGGGAAATTTTATACCTGTTCCGAAAATGAGGGCAATTTGGATGGATTAGTTCATATCAACAAAACAACAAATCAAATCAATTCAAGTGTTTTTTGCATTAAAATATTTTAGAATTAAGGCTAAAAAACTGTTAACTGAATTAATTCATTTTTACTTGGTATGAGAAATTTCTTGTTATCAAGAATATGTCCGCGTCTTTAGAGCAAGTACAAAAATTTCTTGACGAAAGTTTTGTTTTCTTAGTGCAAGATATTTTGCTCTTAAAAATTTTCAAGTCATAATTTTCTTGATACGAGTAAAGGCGTACTTCTCAAAAAACTTTATTGTTCTCAGTTGCAGCGTGACAATTCCTTGAAACTCTTACCGATTCATTTTAATATTTTTAGGCAACGTTTCGGACTCATCCACGTAGATTTCAATCATCCTAATCGTACAAGAACTCCGAAGTTATCTAGCTATTGGATGAAAGCCGTCATGGAGGGCAGAAAATTGATACCAATCTGGAGATAATGAAGATTAGTTAGATACAGTGCCAATCATATTTGCCAATTAGCGACTTTTGTTTCCTACGTTCATCATTATCTTTCCCACTCTAATTCCAGCCAATCAGTGGACAGTATTTGAGGTCATGAGAGAGTTTTTATTCCCCTTTACCTCACGAATATTTACTCACTTTTCATTTTTTCCAAGCGAAGAAAGAAAATTTGTGATAATATTGATTGATGGCAAAGTCAATTGTAATTGATTGAATGTGAAATATAAGATAAATTTCAATCATGTACTTGGCTCATATTTTTCAGATGGACTCGTCAATCCGTTCGATGTAAATATAATTATAATACCGCATACCTTAATTGGCAATGATACAAGAGAGATTAATACAAGTTTCCTTATTTAACTGTTAATCCGGTGAAAGATTCGATGTCGTTCTTGCCCCCATTTCTCCCCATATAAAATGTGATAAAATATCTGCACATGTGGAACCAAAATTGAGCAAAAATACATCAAACCTTATTCCAGATTAGGACTTCAATAAAGAAATATAAACCAGTGTTTTCAGAGATATTGTCAGCAAAGAACTGGGTCATAAAGTTCGACATTGAAATTCAGTTCTAAAATAAGTCCCTAGTGTTCTCATGCAAGGTGATGTCAGCGTATCTTGCTTACAAATTTCAGAAGGATATAGAATAGAAAATTAGGAATTCAATGGTATAAAAATGTTTAAATTTTGATAGAAGACTCTCAAATGGTGAACGTTAAAATTTTTCAATATACTGTTAGAAAAAAAAAAATTTCATGGACAGTTAACTACCAATTTTCAGGACAGTGACACTGAATGCGATTTAGGGGAGAAAAATTATGAAATTTCAGGTTTCACTGAAAATTCAGTAAAATTCCAGAATTTTAAGGGGCATAAAGACGAGAATTCCTTAATTTATTTGAATGTCCAATCTAATATGAATATTCAGTGTCAAATTGCATTGAATTTTCAGTGAAATCTGAAATTTCATGATTTTTTCCCCCTAAATCGCATTCAATGTCACTGTCCTGAAAATTCATGAATATATTTACCAGAATTTTCTGGTTTTCTATTCATTTTCAGGGAAAAATGGAACGGAAATTTACAGTTCTGTTCGATTCTTCTACGAAATTCTGAATTTCCAATGACAAGATTTCCTGAAATTTGAGTGGAATTGCACTGGAAAATTCAGACAAAAATTTTTTAACAGTATACTTCAGCCAATCACGTTGTGATTGACTGCCGCCAGTATTGGAAACGGTGACGCAACTGTTAATGGGTTTTTTAAGATTCTTAACATCGCTTTTCATGTTGCTCCAACTACACCTAAATGTTCGATACCGGATCTGGTTTTTGTGGAATATTCGAGCAATGGGCAAAATACGAGCGGTTTCTATGAGCTAATCATAGAGTCTGCACCTCCACATATATCGTCGACAAAAGAAGACATAAGTTTTTTGAAAAGTACATCTTTACTTGTATAAAAAAAATCATGGCTCGAAAATTACCAAGCGCACAATATCTCACACTAAGACAAAAAATCTTACTTCAAGAAATTTTATATATTGATCCGAAAGATGAAGGCAATTGGTTCATATAAAAAAAACGAGTTCTCAGATCAATTGAAGTGGTATTTACATTAAAATATTTCAGAATTGAGCCTACCCACATGAAAAAATTTATCTTTTGAAAAATATATTAAAAAATATCTTAGATTGGCCTAATTTATGTGAAAAACACATATGCAATGTAATGTAATGTATGTATGTATATATGTAATGTATTTATAAAGAATATATAGAAAAAAAAAATGCAATGTGTTTTATAATTTTTTTTAAATTCAATTTTTTCAAATTTTTTCTTTGTTTTATAAATTTGAAAAAGATATGGAATTGGCCCAAATTATGTATATTTTTTATAAATTTTTCGATGGGGGTAAAAAACTATTGAATGAATTAATTCAATTTTACTTGGTACGAGAAATCGTTTTCTTATCATCAAGAAATTGTCATCATCTTTAGGACCAGTGCAAAATATTTTGCTCTTGAAAATTTTCAAGCCACAAGTTTCTGGATATCAGTAAAAACGTACTTCTCGAAAAACTTTGTTAAGGGGATTTAAGGGGGTGGGGGAACTCATGTCACAAATTCAGAAGCCTATAAAACGTCTGAAAGATGTCTACAAAAGTGTCTAAATATTGAGACACCTATTACTGCACTGTATTGTGCAGGTTTATGCATAGCAATCATTAACAGATATACGGCAATGATAATATGCTGATAAGAGATCACATTTTTTATCTTGACTGAGTTGCGAATAAAAGGATTTCAATCATTCAATCTCCGGTCTAAGTGTCAGATGCATTCAAACGTTGAGGGTCATTGAATTCTGCGATCGACATGACGGCTTTCATTGTGGCAGTTCAAATTTTATACTTCACGAGGTAAAACGTCGATGCGTGAGCATCGATAACTAAATATATAGTGGTCTGAGATTGTTCGCCTTGTTCTGTGAGTATAAGAAATCCACCCACAGAATGACTAGAAACTACATTGATCAAGGTTTAAATATACCAATCGAAATTAAAAAATAGTAAAATGATTGATAATATTAATTTCCAATTGATGATGAATTAAATATATAATAATATGGATCTGTCAATTTTCTATTAAAATAAATAATACTAAATTTGTCATAACGGATTTCCGATTATCCAAATAATCGTCAATTTTCCCAACTAAATTACTAATTAATGAATAATTCGGAATTTGAATATTTAAATTGATGATTACTTCAATAATTAAAATTTAAGAGTGATATTAACTAATTGACCATTTGCTAATTTCACGGTAATTATAATTTATGGATACGGCTATCCCTGTTTGAGACTGAGATAGTCGCAAAAATTTCCATGTTTTTCTAGAACGAGAGGATCTTTTCAAAGTTAAGTCTCGTCTGGATCTCGTGCGCGGCCCTAATATTTTGCTAATTTTCTTTATTATTCTTGGATCAGCTATTTTACTTGGATAAATGTTTTTTTTGCAGCCAAATATTTGCAGTAGACGAGAGTTATCTAAGAATTCCTAAAGGTCTTTCAATCGGCGCTGCAACAGCAGCTTATCAAGTCGAAGGTGCATGGAATGTGAGTGATAAATCTGAAAGTGTATGGGATCGACGAGTCCATACAAATGCATCCTATTACGGTGGTGGAGACAGTGGAGATGTAGCGGCTGATTGTTACCACAAGTATAAACAAGACGTACAATTAATGAAGAATATTGGTGTGAGTATTCCTCAGCTATTGCTCTCCACAAAAAAAATGAGATACAAGACTAATATTCATTCTCACAGTTGAATCATTATCGGTTCTCTATAAGTTGGTCACGAGTTTTGCCGAGTGGATCCCCGGACAAAATTAGTAAAGATGGAATTCAGTATTATAAGAATCTAATTGACGAACTAATTGCCAATGGAATAGTCCCATTCGTGACGATATTTCATTTTGACGATGTGCAATCCTTGATTGACAAGACAGGGGGATGGACTAATGAGTCGATGGTTGAATATTTTGCTGACTATGCCAGAGTTATATTCCGAGAGCTCGGACCAAAAGTTAAATTCTGGACTACTATCAATGAGTTGAATATCTACTGCGAAGAGAATTTCTATGTGAATGAGACTAAAGTAAACACAGGTAAGTCTACAGCGTTCCTTCTATGTTTTGAATTTACACGGAGAAAAAAGTTGGAGAGAAATTACCAAACAAGTCATGTAATCGTGGCGCAGAATCCATTGCTAGGTCTTTTTTAGCGTATATCGGGACAAAAAATGCGAAAAAGTAGTGAATTTTTCTCCGCTGACTTGAGAAAATGTACTAAACCCCCACTTGAGAAAATTACTAAACATTTATAAATAAGTCTTATGTATATATGACACAGATATTAAGCATATATTGTATGGGTTGGGGAAAAAGCAATTTCGGTTTTTTTCATGTTTTTCAAAGTGAATTTGTTAATATAAATTTTAAACACTAATCAATGATATATGTGCCGTTCTGATCGATGACCTTTTGCCACTTTTCTGGTAAAACCATAATTCCGCAACTGTAGAACTTCTGAGGTTTTTGGGCAAAAAACTGAACCAAGTGATTTTCACAAGCCTCTTTTGAACCCAGTTTTACACCATTAAGAGAGTTTTGCAGAGACCGGAACAAATGATAGTCCGACGGGGCAAGATCAGGGCTATACGGTGGATGCATCAAAACTTTCCAGCCAAACTCTCAGTTTTTGACGAGTCACTAAAGATATGTGCGGTCTAGCATTGTCGTGGTGGAAGACGACGCCTTTCGTATTGATCAATTCTGGCCGTTTTTTTTTCAATCGTCTGCTTCAGTCGCATTAGTTGTTGACAGTAGACAGTCGAATTAATGGTTTGGCCAGGTTCGAGCAGCTCATGATGAACAATACCCTTCCAATCCCACCAAACACTCAGCATCACCTTCCTTGGCGTCAATACGGGCATCGCAACTGTTTGTGAAGCTCCTCCGGGCTTTAACCACGATCTCTTTCGCACATTATTCTCGTACGTGATCCACTTGTCATCGCCCGTAATCATTTGTTTCAAAAATGGCTCGATTTCGTTTCGTTTCAGCAGGGATTCACAAATGGAAACTCGGTCCATTAAATTTTTCGACGTTAATTCATGTGGACCCCAAGTATTGAGCTTCTTTTGGTATCTAGTCTTATGTAAATGGTTCAAAACTGTTTTATGATCGACATTTAGTTTCGTAGCAATGTCGTGAGATGAAATATGTCGGTCTACCTCGATTTCATTAAGAATTTCATCGACTTTTTCAACGGTTGGCCGACCAGGGCGAGGTTCATCTTTAAGATCGAAGTTTCCGGAACGAAATCGAGCAAACCAATTCTGACACTGGCGTTCACTTAAGCACTCATCACCATAAATACTACACAATTTTCGATGAACCTGCGCTGCAGTTTTTCCTTTTCGGAAGTAAAAAAGCAAAATGTGATGAAAGTGGCCTTCTGGAATCTTCTGTGTGAAAGCGCAATAATTTTTGAATGAGTAAACGAATGACGCTACTTTGTACTTTAGGATGTTCTATAGACTGTAAACTTCGAAACATGCTATAGTATGGCCTCATTGAATAAGCATTACTAGAGATATACAACTTTAATGCCATCTATTAGGAAGAACCGAAATTACTTTTTCTCCAACCCAATATATATAAATGCTATACACCATTTCTGGCCGATTTCTATCCATCAAAAAAATATGTAATCATGGACTCTGTATATATGCGATATATATGTACGAATATTAACCCTTTGTTACTCGCGTGAAACTGCCCGACTTGGTTACACGCATCGCGGCGCCGCGCCGTAATGTAAATCTAAGCGCGCCGTTGCCACAATTCATTCGGAGAGTGGACTCGCTGATCTCCTAGCAGCCCCAGCAGCCACAAGTGTGGCAACGTCGTGTGAAATACTTCCATGACACGAACAGTCGCGTCGCGGCATGGCGCCGTATTTTTTATTTCCAGTTAACATAGGAGTGAATTTTCTCTAATCAGGGGCTTTGACCGTGGTTAGAAATGGCAGAATATGCCTTTAGATAAAATCAGTGAGGCATACAATTTTTTTAATATTTTTTAATGAGTTTTTTTTTGACTAAAAAATCGAATTTCACCGGCGCGGTGCCGTGGAGGCGAGTAACGAAGGATTAAATTTGCATGTACATATATCGCACGAATGTTGATCATATATGAGAATTTAGAGGCAATATATATCCAACGTTACCATGTAATTTTTTAAAATAGTTAATTACTCAGTTTATAAGTTTGTGCCGGTGGCTTGGCGCAGTGGGTAAGTTCGTTGCCTCACATGCGAAAGGTCCCGATTTCAAATCCCGGCCGGGTAGAATGGTGCGATCTAACCATTTAAAGTCTTTTGATCATCAAAGTTTATAAGTTGAAATGATGATTTTCTGTCTATTATTATCGCAGCCCTACCTGAAAAAAACGATTAGCAGAAATTAAATTTTTCCATCGGAGGGGGTTCGAACCTACAACCTACTGATTCGCAACCTAACGCGTTACAACGGAGCTATCGCGCGCAATTCGTAATGGCAGCAATTCGCATCGTCCATGTAAAGTATATAAATCGATTACTAATCTATTTACAATTTATAAACCTCTGATCATTGCCCACTTGAAGCTAGTACTTATTCAACTTTTCTCTCCGTGTCCGACGTAAAGTATTTGGAAACCATTGAAGATCATGTATTTGCAATGTTTCATATCGAGTAGCGTATACAATCCGTTATAGTTGTGTACATAATCTACTGAAAGCACATGCACGTGCCTATCATATTTACAACGACGAATTTCGATCAACGCAAGGCGGCCAAGTTGGACTAATCGTACACGGCGCTCATCATCTGCCACTGTCTCCCAGTGATACGGAAAGTGAAAAAATTGCATTTGACTTTGAGACTGGGTGGATAATGCATCCTATATTCTCAAAGCAGGGAGACTATCCGGCAGTCATGAAACAGAGAATTGCTGAGAATAGTAAAATTGAAGGGTTGGCGTCTTCAAGATTACCAGAATTTTCGGCTGAATGGGTAAAGTACATCAAGTGAGTCATCAATGGGTTTTATTATATGAAAATTTTATGACTTGTCATAAACATGTGACAGACGCAAACACGACATTCCTTGACACATGACTAAATCATCGGCTGAGCGTCGAATCCTCACGCAAGAAAAAATTTAATAGAAAATCGTAGCGAATTCGCTAGACAATTGTCGCTAGACAATTATTAGATTTTTATTGAACTTTCTAATAGTTTTTGGCTGATTCTATCAAAATTTTCAATGGAAATTATTCTAGAGAAAAATCCAATAGAATTCGATTCTTATAATTTCACTGATTCTTCTAATTTGGCTGATTCTATAAAAATTTTCAATAGAAATTATTCTAGAGAAAAATCCAATAGAATTCGATTCTTCTAATTTCACTTTAGGCACAAATGACGAAAATAGCATATTCGAACTCCTAAGGCCAAAATTAGTTATCCTGAGACAGAAAAGTGGAAATTTTAGGTTTGACGCATACAATGCTTCCATTCGAAAGCAAAATGAAGGTCATATTCACAACTCCGATTCAGAGTTCAATAATCTGTTCTTGATTGCCAAAAGTCTGACTCTGAAGAGTTAATTCCTGCATCTTTCGGTTGTTTGCAAAATGCTCATGTATGCAAAATCTAAGATTAGAATTTTTTTATTCCATTTCTCCCTGATTATTGTGTTATTCATATTTACAATCTAATCTAGAGGATCGGCTGATTACCTTGGTTTGAATCATTACGTGTCATACATGGTTGCACCAGCTTCCAAATATGATGGACGATGGTACGATGATACAGGTCTCAACAAAAGTGATAACTCTGACTGGAAGTACACTACCTCCGGATTTTCCGTAAGTAACTGACGCTGAAACTTCCATTGTACCAGACAATTTCCTCCAAAAATTAATCACATTGTCCACTCACAGATATTCCCTAAAGGTATCGGAGCGGTTCTGAGGGAAATAAAATTGTCTTACAATAATCCGCCAGTTTACATCTTAGAGAACGGAATGGCAGCAAATTCTGGAATCAATGACACCGATAGACTTTCGTTTTTGTATTCTTTCATGAAGGAAGTGTTGTTGGCTATTCGTGATGGTTGCGATGTGAGGTCATACACTGTTTGGAGTCTGCTCGATAATTTTGAGTGGTATTCTGGATACTCGTAAGTATAAATCAGTAGCGCAGTGGTAAAAGGGTTTAAGTCGACTTATCTCCCAGTTGAGTTTTTGAAGAATACACGCACGGAAAAATTTAATACAAAAACCTATCGAATTCGTTAGAAAATTCTATTGAATTTCTATTAGTTTTTGGTTGATTCTATTGACATGGTCAATACAAAACATTCAATAGAAAAAGTCAACAGAATTCGATTTTTCTATATAACTTATTCTTTTCATATATTTTCTATAGAATTTGCTCGACTCAAATTTTTCAAGTTTTTTTCATTCTATTTTTCTTTTCTTCTCATCAAGAAAATCAAACGAAAAAATTTAGAAAATTTGAGCCGAGGAAATTCCATAGAAAATATGTCAATAGAATAAATTGTATAGAAAAATTGAATTCTATTGACTTTTTCTACTGAATATTTTCTATTGAACATTTCAATAGAATCGACCAAAAATTAATAGAGCAGTTCAATAGAAATTCAATAGAATTTTCTAACGAATTCGATAGGTTTTTCTATTAAATTTTTTCGTCCGTGTAATCTAAGGGAGATAGCGAAATTTTCGTAATTACATTTGTTGTAGCAGTCAATCGACTCCACAAAAAAGGCTATAACAACAATTTTGCTATCTCCCTTAGATTCCGAGATATTAATTGAAAACTGGTCAGTAGTCGAAATGATACTGAATAGACTGATATCTAGAGTAAAGTGATCCCTCGATAACGGGTGCTCGCCTCCATAAATGTTTACGATTATATTCTATTTTATTCTATTCTATTCCGATCCTTGGCTTGGTTACTGTTAAAGGGGCGTAAAACCCATTGTCCGACCCCGGCTATTCCTCCCAAAGTAACTTCCGTCCATCTCACTCCGGTCTCTCTCAACTGTTACCCAATACTTTTGTTACATAGGCGTCGCCAGACGGTTTTACCCTGGTTTATTTTCCCCAAGGGTAAGGATGAGAATTTTCTTGTCTGTCCTTCCCGGATTTTAAGCCCACACAGAAAAAAACAGTAGATTTAGAGGTTTTGAAATACATATGGGGTATTCCATGTGAACTCACCCAGGTCAAAACCCTCACCATCGCCAATCATATTGCCGATTTTTCCTGTGGTTGTATATGGAAAAATATGACTTTTCCAATTTTTTCAGATTTTTTGAGGCATCCTGTGGATAGCCATGTTTTTTTGCAAGTTTTATCTTCAAATACCTGTAACTTCCGTAAAAATTAACCGATTTGAGGTTTTTTCCCAAAATGTGCGTCTTCGAACACATTTTCCATATAAAAATATGCCAATTTTTTTCAATTCGTTCTTCCATCGATTTCCTCAGAAAAACTTCAAAAAACGAGTCGTTTTAAAAGTTGGACCCTTTTTATATTTTTCAAAAAAATTCAGTGAATATATTGGACCAAAACAAAATTTTTCACCAAAGGCCAAAGTGGGCTTCCCATTCCGTGGCCGTCATTTCCAATTTGAATATATGAATCCGGGATGAAAAATTTCAAAAATTTCAAAATTCTTTTCGCATTTGAACGCAGAAGCATTATTTGAATTTACCGCCTGAAGAATCACTGCATTATATTCGAATCTGGAACAATTTGATGATTTTTTGAAAATTCGTTAACAATAAATCTTTCCGACTGGTGTGTTCTAATAGAGATCCCACTTTGCCTTTGGTGAAAAATTTTATTTTGGTCGAATATATGTATTCACTGACATTTTTTGAAAAATTTAAAAAGGGTCCAACTTTGAAAACGACTCGTTTTTTGAAGTTTTTTGAGGTTTTTCTGAGGAAATTGATGGAAGAACGAATTGAAAAAAATGGGCATATTTTTATATGGAAAGTATGTTCGAAGACACACATTTTGTAAAAAAAACTCAAATCGGTTGATTTTTACAGAAGTTACAGGCATTTGAAGATAAAACTTTCAAAAAAACATGGCTGCCCACAGTATGCCTCAAAAAGTCTCAAAAAATTTGAGAAGTCATATTTTTCCATATACAACCACAGGAAAAATAGGCAATGTGATTGGCGCTGGTGAGGGTTTTGACCTGGGTGAGTTCACATGGAATACCCCATATAAATACATGGATGGAGCCATAACTAAGGTGTAACATTTACTATAGGTAACACTATAGGTAAGTTATGATTTTTTGGGTCATGTCGATTTCAGAAAATTGTGCGCTGTAGCCACAATCTCGGAGTGGTGATGTGAAAATATCCAATTCATTCTCACTGTATTTGACCAGCCTATTCACTGATTCACATGCCCGAGGGGGCATTTAAATGTACGAAAAAACAGCGTATTTTACGGTTTACATAATTTTTTTTCTTCGTCGTTAATTACGGATAAGTAAACGTAAAATCCGGAAAAAAATCATCGTAATTTACGAATACGAAATCGTAAGTTACATTTATATAACCGTAATTTACGGCGAAATCGTTAATTACGTTTATAGAGTCGAGCAGTTATGGAAGGTTTACTTTATCTCATATGAATGCCCAATGATACTGATGTTCTTTTTTCATTCACAGGGAACCGTTCGGACTAGTACACGTAGATTTCAAAGATCCTAATCGCACAAGAACTCTCAAGCTTTCTGCTCACTGGTTGACAAGAGTCATGAAGGAAGGGAAATTGATACCGTATAAAGATATGTTCACGACAAAGGTGAAAAATAATTGTGGCTGTCTGCACGGAAAGAATGTCCATCATCAGTTTCAAGTTTTGTTCATTTCGTTGGTCTTGATGGCATTCCGTATATTCTAAACGGAAAATGTTTTTAATCGCCGAAGTTGGAACAGGAACACGTGACCGTTATTTTTCTTACGTCATATTTTCGATCATATTCTCCTCCCCCTCACACGAAAAAATTTATATTTTGAAAAATATATTTAAAAAATATCTTAAATTCGCCGCATTCATATTTTTTAAATATATTTTTTGATGAGGGCCTGCAATTCTGTTCCAACTAGCTAGATATAAACTGACACACGGAGAGAAATATTTAATAAAAATTACGTATCTTTTCCGTAATTCCGAAGCGAAATGTAGTTGTAGGAAATTTTGCGGAACTGTCACGTAATTTTTAGCTAAAATCACGGAATTTTTCCAGAGCGGTCCGTAATTTTTACCTGAATCTCCTGTGAAAAATTACGATACCGTCACTTAAATTTTCTGAGTCGATTCCGTAATCTGTGAACGAACTGTGAGTTCCGTAAATATTACTGAACATTTCTCTCCGTGCAGTCATGAATTTTTCGCGTCCTAAAATTTTGTCACATTTAGTAATAATTCGTATTTCCAATTATTAATTTGGATTTGAATACATTGAATGCATGTTTGACAGTCAACTAAATATCTTATCACCATAAAACCATGGGCCCATATCTGCGAATCCCAAGTTATACTGCCACTAGTGAGATGGAATAACATCGTTAGATAGTAAATTGGTCATAATTTTGTCACATGGCAAGAATTCGTCATGTTCCCGTCATTTTTGCGTATCTCTGGGTTGACCTCCGTTCAAACCGGTATGATAAACAAGAATAGCATAGGAAAGATCGAAACGAGTCGATTCTCTCCATTATTCTGAATAGAGAACTTGCATGTAGCTGAGTTCTTTCTAATCTTTCTATTCACACATTTTTCATGATAGTTAATTGAAAATTTATTTTCGATCAGTTTCATCGCACATACATGTAAATAATAATTTTTGAGGGCTCAAATGTATATTAATATAAGCATTAATATTCATTCGAATTTTGGTAATTACACTGAGAGAAAAATGTTCTGATATATAGCCTATATTGACTTGAGAGAAGTAAATTATTTTCAATGGTTTAAATTTTAGAATGTTTGCCGTTCACGAAACTCCAATGAATTCTCATTTATCACTATCGTTTCGCATTATATCATGAATGTATTACATATCGAAATATTGCAACTGCAAAACAATAAATACTTGAAAATTGAGGGTCCTTATACGCGATTTGAGGGCGTTCATTTACGACAAAATCATACTTGAGAACAAGAATATGTTAAAGCATGAGACCTTTCTCGGGCCACGTGAGTTGAGATGCCTGGGAGAATGAAACAGGTGAAGAAAAATTACTTGTCTCAACAAAATATGTTTCAGATATTAGAATTTTTTTTTCTCAGTGTAGCTAATATGGCAACTTCAATTTTTCTGGGATACTGTTAGGTAAATATTAAGCTTTTTATGTGATCTCGAAGTATTTAGACGTATATTGTGTCGAAAACTGGCTGCTGTAAATGAACTTAACCTCCTTGAGCTATTACACTTAGTAACGTGTATGCTCATGTAGATATACGGGACCTCCCATTCTACGCTTTCCTTCTAAAAGTAGTTTTTACAAAATTTCAATTATGAGGTGTTCATCTAAATTCAACGTGTAGTGAAGCACTATTCTTAAATTGTTCTTAAGGATGTTCGACACCCTTTTACCCAAAATTGACGTTGTTTTCATTTTTCTGGCAAATTATCGATGGGAGTGACGTGAAAAAATATAACGATTTTGTGGTTTGTCATTCTTTAATGGCTCACGAAGTTGTGCAGTGGTGCGATAATTTTCATGCGTTTTTTCTACAGTTTTGTGATTCTTTTTAAAAGTTTGGAGAAAACGCAGGAAAATGTTCGCACCACCTTAAAATTTCGTCAGTCATTAAATAATGACAAAACGCAAAAACGTTATATTTTTTCACGTCAATTCCATCATAAGTTTGCCAGAAAAATTAAAAAAACGTGAATTTTGGCAGAAAGGGTGTAGAACATCCTTAAAGTATCAAGCTTCGCCAGCACTTAGCATTACCCAGGATTCGCGACAAAGACGCAGCTGGTATGAACCCCACAAGGTCGAAATTTGACCCAGTCAACCCCCTTCAAGTTATTTACCTCATTGAGTCCGACTCAATTTTCTTGTTCATTTCAATTTCTTTTGGTAACAAATGACAAATTAATTCAGTTTCCTCGAAAAAATTGTTGGAGTAGTTATATACTCTAATTACCCGAATTTTTCATTATTGTTCCGAAGATTAAAGATAGAAGAAAGTAATAAATATTTCCCCTGGATTTCTCTAATAAGGAGGTCTACATTGAGAATTCACTATCCTGGGGAAATCAGTCATGCTGGAATTCTATTGGTCGAGCTGGCGGACTCCTGATTGGTCGACACATTGAGGGGTGGGGTGGGCTAGAGGGGGGGGAGGTCAGAGAGGGGGGTAGGTNGTTAGAGGGGGGGGGGTATCGGTATAAATAGTGGCACACTCTCAGCAGAGGTCATTCTGCAACTTCTTCGAGTAGTAGCAACATGGAATTTTTTGGAAAGCTTATGCGCCTCTTTGGTGTTGGCAAACCCAATATGGATCCAATTGCTAATCTCCCAGTAGAAGTGGCCCAGTGTATTTTCAGGCAGCTTGATTCTCGATCACTTCTGAATGCAGCTCGAGTATCCCGTGGATGGCATTCAGTCTGTCGAGGTGACTCACGATTGAGGGCAGCCGCCAGACGCCATCTCAGGAGGGAGAAAAGGCTTGCTTACGACCTCTTCAGACCGGTCAGGATGGTCCGGTCAGTCGTGAGACCCGCTCAGAAGGTTTCCGCTGCTTCAGGCCCAATTGTCTTCATGTATGGACCTGCTGATGTATTTCGGGGATATACGCAGCCCCAAAATGTGAGGGGCAATCTTGGGCCTCGAGTGAAGCTCGAGGTCAAGAGGAGTATGCTTAAGTTTCGGTGAAATAGTAGTAAGTTAGATAAGAATTTGTTAGATAATTAATGATAATTAATGATAATTGCTGGCCAGCAGAGTAGTTTAAAATATATGTAAGCTGACAATTTGAATAAATGCAGAAAATAAATAAATTTTAATAATTGCAAGTTGATTGGATTTCAAAAATACTAGGAATAAAATTTGTAAAATAGGGCATCTCATGTTTTAGTCTCTTGCCACCCCGATCGAAATAACCCATTATTTTTAACTTATATCGTTTATGACGGCGATAGGAACAGGCGTCATCATAAGTTTTAAATAAATTTAAATTTTGAATAAGTCAATTGGTTGATATTACTCGGCAATTATTGAATGATTAAATTAATTATGAATTGAATAGTCCAATTGCGAATTACTTTATCAATCAATAATTGAGTTCACATTGGCGACTATTTGGTTAATCGAAAATGCTTTTTGTGAAATTTAGAGTTATTTATTCATAGACACTTGAAAATTTCGATTATCAATTATTTTATTAATTTTCAAAATTCAATGAAGATAATATGTATAAAATCCCACCCCCCGCCGCCAATTTTTTCATCCCACCACCAATGGAAGAATATCCCAAAAGAGTCCATGAAATTGCAAGTAATTTATACATCTCGTGAAGTGATCTCGAACATAAAATCCCACTAAAAGATCTCTTAGTGAAATCATAAAATCCCAAGTACATCGGCTTATCGGTGCATCAATGGGGCTGATGGTCATGCACCGCAAAAAGTGGGTCCTGAATTTCAGTACCTTTTGGGTACTAGAAGTGAAATTAATTGAAAAATCTAATTGTTTTTTTAATTGAATGATTTTCGGAGGGGGGGGGGACGTTAGAATTAGAGGCATTTCTGTCCCTTCTTGGTGATTTTCATGGCCCTTATATTTTGACAATATCTTACGTCAAAATGTCAGAATGTAAAAATGTCAAAATTTGACATTAGACATTTTGAAATTTTGAGGGTCAAAATATAAAGGTTAAAATCTAAAGGTCAAACCTAAGGGTTAAAATATAAAGGTCAAAATGCCAAAGTCAAAATGTAAGGATCAAAAAATAAGAATAAGGGTGATGAGGGCCAGAAATAAGGTTCAAGATAAAGATAAAAAATCCCTGTAATTCTGACCCATTCCCACTCCCCTTTACCCTGATAATTATTCAGTTCAGAAAACAATTAATGATTTTCCAATCATTGTCACTTTCAGTACCTTTTGGGTATTGAAATTCAGTACCCACTTTTTGTAGTGTGATAGTTGGATGTGACAGTATTTTGTTACAGTTTGCTCGCACTGTCGGACTGAGCAGATTGTAGCCCTGAGTGTCAGAGGTGGGAGACAAAGATTGTAGTGGGGATTGGGAAAAGTGGGGGTAAATTTTAGGACCACAATCTCCTCAGTTCAACCATCATATAGGCTATCCAGTAGAAGTTTATCCTTCCGAGGGTACCTCCACTCTACGTAATTCCCACTCACATGCTTGGACCTCACTCCAAAAATCCACGAATATTCTTCTGGAAGATAACCTATAGCAATTTGTGTTCGGCAGAGGCAACTCTGTGTGTTAGGCAGAGACAGTCATCATCAGAAAATGCCATTCATTGTGCTCACGGCATCAGAGGATGACTGATTCAGACGTTCTCCCTCGAGAGTCTCCAAAATTTTCGGAATTGTCAAAATTTTCAGAGTTTACAAAAAATGTTATTGACAAATTAGAGTTTTTATCTCCAAAAAACGGAGAAATTTCTTAAAGTTTTAAAGTTTCTTCTATTCTTCAAGGATGAATGTAGTCAGAAAATTGTGCGACAAATTGTGCTGTTGGCCTACCCAATTTTTTCATGGAACGTAGCACCTCCGTGGGGGAACCACAACGAGCCACATGGCTTGACAGAACTCGTCGAAATGTTGCCAGCGCTCGTCATAGAGGAAGAATATGTCATGAAGTAAATTTTCCAGAGACGTTTAATGGACTTTACTCCGCGAAATTCTCATCCAGAGGGGATGTCATTGCTGCCGCTTTCGGCGATGGTGGAATTCAGGTTAAATGTGTTTTTTGGGTACTAAAGATTCTCTCGATTCTGCCAAACCCCATAATCAACAAAACAGCAAAGTGAAACATAAATAGCCTTTATATCTTTCCTAAATATTATTTGTTAAACAAGACTTTTGGTAAAATCGAATTTGTCCGCCGAATCAACGTTGATTCTGTATCTACTAAAGATTCAGAGTTGTGACAACATTGTCCAGTGGGGTCTAGGAGTCTCCCCTGGTTGAATTTTTATAATATCTCGTGCAATCATCACAAATGATTTTTTTAAACATTCATCTCTAGATAAGGAAGGGAGAGACTGCAGAACTGTTCTCCACCTTGAGACTCGCCCCAGCTAAATCACTTCCGATTATGTGCTGTCAATTTCATGCAACAGAGGGGACGATTCTCTACGCCTCGAGTGCTTGCGGCAAAATATTTATATGCAATCTCGATGTCAATGAGTGTTCGACATTCATTGAAGGTAGAATGAAGCTGAAACTGAATGAATATGAAACTAGTCAAATAATCATATGTACAAATGTTTTTGAAGTGCGAAAGAGTTTGTACATTACTTAAAAACATTTGAACACCTCTAGATTCGCCGAAGACAAGTCCTCGCTAGTTTCAGCTTCATGAAGCATGATTTTTCCACTACACAGCAAAAACGAACGTCTGAATTTCACACACCTTTTGTAGATATTTTTCAGACACTAAAAAACGTCTGAATAAAATGAAAATTTGTCTGAATTTCAAACATAAATTAAGGGGAGACTACTATCCTATTCTAATGAGTTTTAAAAGTCGCGGGCTATTGGAATGAGAAGGTCGATTATATGTATCTAAAGACGAATAATTAGGGCAAAAAAATTCATTGTTTATTGTTCGTTTGCCCCGCAGACGCTTAAAATGTTGAAATCAGTCCACGACCTCCAATTTTTCAGCTACAAAGGTGTTTTTTTATCAAAATTTTTGAAAAAATGTGTGCAATACCAATTACGAATTTTTTTGTTTTAGTTTTTTGAAATTAGTTTTTTGAAATTCAACTCCTACACAGCTAATTTCTGTTTTTTTTTTAATAAAAAATTGTACCATTCATGTAAAATAGCCCGAAAAATGTTTCTGAAAGAATCGAGAATGTTTTAAATATTTTGAGGATAATTTTTCTGCCTATTTTACATGAATGGTCCAAATTTTCATATTAAACAAAACGAAATTAGCGGTGGAGGAGTCGAATTTCAAAAAACTAATTCATAATTGTTATTGTACACATTTTTTCGAAAATATTGAAAAAAACCTCTGTAACTCAAAAATTGGAGGCCCTGGACTATTTTTAACCTTTTAAGCGTCTGCGGGGCAAACGAACAATAAACTACTAATGTTTTTGCACTAATTACTCATTTTGAGACATATACAATCGATCTTCAATGCATGAGAAATCTCACTCCAATAGCCCGCGACATTTAAAACTCATAGTAGTCTCCCCTTAAGAGGTTTAGGCACCTGTTCGTCTGAAATTCAGACAAATTTTTATTTCATCCATACGTTTTTTAGTGTCTGAAAAAAGTCTACAAAAGGTATGTGGAATTCAGACATTCGTTTTTGCTGTGTCCACAGCGAAATGACTCAAATATTCTTTTAAAACCTCTTAACATTATTGTCCCAAATAATTATGACACTAGAACCCGAAAATGAAGTCAACACAATCAGTATCAGCACAGGTGGAGAGTATCTCGTCTCCGGTGGCAAGGACGCTGCATTGAGACTTTATGACGCCTCAACCGGAAAAGTACATGAGATTTCTGAACCTTGAAATTGCCATTTCACTTCAGGTTTAACGTCTTATCACAGATTATTCACGTCTACCAGAGGGATATGACGGGCATGATGGAGAACAGATTAGACAAGTTTCATAGAATGAGAATCTTCGCAGCTAAATTTCACAAGACTTTTCCACAATTGATTGCTTCTGGTGGGTGGGATGATACAGTCCAGGTAATGCGGCCCTTCACGTTTTCTTCAGGGGAAACTATTATGAGTTTTAAAAGTCGTGGGTTATTGGAGTGAGACTTTTCATACGTTGAAGATCGATTATATAGATCTAAAACCGAATAATTAGTGCAAAAAAAAATTTTTCTGTTGCTCGTTTGCCCGAAAACGCTTAAAATGCTAAAAACAGTCCAGGGCCTCCAATTTTGGAGCTAAAAAAGTTTTTTTTTTTCAAAATTTTCGGAAAAATGTGTGGAACAACAATTACGAGCCAGTTTTTTGGAATTCAACTCCCAGACAGCTAATTTCTTTTTTTTTCATCTAAAAAAATTAACTATTTGTGTAAAAAAATACAAAAAAAGCAAATTTAGCCATTTAAGAGGCGAATTAAAAAAAACATAGGTCGTAATTGTTATTCCACATATTTTACCGAAAATTCTGAAAAAAAAATCCTTCGTAGCTCAAAAATTGGAGGCCCTGGACCGTTTTTAGCAGTTTAAGCGTTTTCGAGCAAACGAACAATAAAAAAAATTTTTTTTGCACTAATTATTCGTGTTCAGATTTATATAATCGATCTTCAACATATGAAAAGTCTCACTCCAATAACCCATGACCAGGCCTCGCATTTCGATTCAACTAAAATTGTCCGTGTAACCATAGCGGAATATTGTGGAATCTGAACCAAACTGTCAGATTTTGAATGGTGTGAAGTTGGAAAATTGAGGTTGGGGGTTTACCACATGGAGTTGATGTGGGATATGATACAAGAGGTAAGTTATAACTAGAAACTAAAATTATTATTCTTAACTTAATTAATATTTTCATTAGTAAAAATTGGGCGGTGCCAGATGGTATGACCGTTGTGGTCTTTTACCTACCCGTCCCAGTACCTACGCGGTAGCCCAGGCTAATTCCCTATCCGTACTTGCCTCTAAGCTAACTTATATCTAACTCCACATAACTAACTCCACATGCACAGCTGTGTGAACTTGGAGTCGAAGTTTGATAAATCGATTTTTTTTCTTATAGTATCGATTGTACTCAGTGAGTACCTGAACGTACCACATTCATTTTCGTTTGTACCCCGCATCCCTAGACGTAAGGGGTGCGGAAAAAATCGTGCAGCGTCGGAAATGAAGGTACGGAAAAAATTTTCATGAGCAAGGATTCAGCATGGATAGTACTTGTATGTACTATATTTTTCCATTTCATTTATCAACCCCTTCAATACTTTACCCGCTTCTAAAATCTTAAATGTATGAAGGACGTCAGGAAAACATACAGATAGCTTCTAAATCGTTAGTACTCGTTTGTACCAACGAAAATTATTCATTATTATTATTATTATTATTATTATTCTCATCAAATCACCTGATTGCATTTTAATCAACCGTAAAATCATCGTCATGGATTCCATATGTAGTTCGTGAAGTTTTGATGTGGGTACA